CGTCCTTTGTGTTCATTTTCTGAGGATATAATGGATGTTGTGTCACAGTAGTTTAAGAGGTTGAAGAAATGTAAGAGATGAGTGGCCATTGAGTCTCCATTGTGCATCACTCATTTATGATGAGGAAAGTCTTTGTGGGATAGAGAAGTTGGTGAACCTCTCTATCCTTTGTCACTGCAAACTGATAAAACAAAAAAAGAAAACAGAGCAGTGTATCCCCAACATATTCGCAGATGAAAAGTAGAGACGTGCTTACCGTGTCTCTTTGAAGGTCTGGGAAAGGAAGCACATACGGTGTTTTTCAGCTGGTTCTAAAGAGTTATCTTCATCTGTAAGTTTACCAGTGCACTTCAAAACTTCACTATTCAGAATTAGGGGATTAAAGCTTACATTTATTTTGGGGCTGAGGGGGACGTTGCAACTGCATAGGTTGCTCTGAAAGTAATGCCTCCTGTTTATTTCCGTGGAAACTACAGCAGATACAAACAATAACATTAGTTGATACAGCAAATTTTCAGCTACAAACCACTATTTTTCATCATAGTTATTACCATTAGCTATTCATTTTTGCAGCAATGAACAAAAGTCTGCATGCTGTGCTCATAAAATCCGTGCCAGCCCAGATGGCCCACTGTCACCAGTGCTGAAACACTCCACCTACCACCCCACTGTACTCACATGCACTGTTTGATCTCCATATACGTTCAACAAGCATTATTTAGTGTCACTGGGTGCAGTTTTATTCTGCTCATTGGAATTCATTTCCTTTCCTTTGCTTTGCTTCATACCCACTGCCGTCTTGTCAAACTGCCCCTCTGTTGCCATCCATTTCATGATAATTAAATGGAATATTGGTGGGAGGGTTCAACATCTACTGCCATACTACCAACACCCGCCCCTGACATCACAGGGCAAGGTAGTGATACAGGGAGCATTACTTTTGGAGCAGACCTCTGATTTAGGGAGTATTCAAAATATTTTATTTCCTGTTTGCAGGAATAAGAAGCCATCCTAATCTGATTGTGTATGCACTATTCGGGCTTTTACCCAAGCCAGTGTTAGGAGAACAAAGCTAGGATGGAGTCTGAAGTCTTGATTTTATTTTTTATTTTTTTTTATTTTTTAATGGCATGCATCTGCTGAGTGAGAAATATTCTTAAATAACTGGGTATTAGTGTCTAGATCAGATATTAAAGTTTGATTTCTAGTAGTTGCATTAGGTTATGCTTGTCTGTGCAATTGTGTTCCTGAATAATGATGTTCCTAAATGAATTATGATTTTTCCAATTTAAATGTCTGATCCATATGGAGCTTTTATATAAACATCCAGAATACAGTAAATGAATTCTGTGTTTTCTTCTGTCAGTAGCTGCTTGTACCAGGTATTATTCAGGTATTAAAGAGGAGGAGAGAGGCAAACTATCTGCCATTATGATCTGTTGATTGGTGCAATCCAGTCAGTTTCCATATATGTGTATGAATCCATATGTCTGCCTGTTTTGTTTTTTTAAATCATTTTTAAAAACTTTTTGCATGAGAGTAACTGACTCATTATGGAGGAGAGAGGTAGAGTACCTGTGTGCACAGTTAAATTCCCTCAGTAGGTGCAGCGGTTTGGTTTTGAACAAATGGAGCTTTTTAGGGTTTCCCCATTGTGCTACGAGCAAAATGATGTTCCTTCAGCCTTCCCTGAATATTCACACTGAAAACTACTGTGAGTTGAAACATTTAGTTCCTGGGTGCCCTCGTCTGAAAGATTTCAGAGGATCTCCATGGTAGATAGTGTCCTGGTTCATTGTGGTCTGCACACATCTGGAAATGTATATGGGAACCAGACATATATGGTAGAACAAACTTCCATGAAACAGCTTTAATCCCAGTTGTCTTCAAATGAGAGTTGTATTTCTGACCTGGCATTTCTAAGATGCATATAGCAGCAGATACAGCTTGAATAAGAACCATCTCTGAGCTGCAGTATGGCTCAGGTACCTCTCTTCACAAGGTGAGAGTGAACAAAGCTACTCGTGGTAGGTGCTCATCTTTTATGCATGTTGGGAAGGTGCATAGAAATTCATGCAATATGGGGAGAGGGCAATTAAAAGAGAAACAATTAAGTGTTAGGCTCTGTCTTTAATGATAGTCTGATTTTGTGCACATGTTCGTGGGTTTTTTCTGTCATGTTACTGACATTTCCTGCATTTGCCACAGTCTTCTTAGAACAAGAGGAAGCTTAGAGATTTGATAGTTAAAAAAATGCCAAGCAGAAATGCTGTTCTGGAGGTATGGGAACAGTTTTGTCCTTTGTTTGTCTTTGAAAGAGACAAAGCACGCAGTAAAACAGAAAGTGTTCTCAGGCATTTAGAGGGCTCATTTTAAATTGCTGGGTTAATTTTTGTCTATGCCCTGAAAAGGCACTCAAGTGTCAATTCATATACACAAAGCTGAATATTTGCACATCTAAGTCATTCTGTATTTATAATAAACCAGCTTAGCATTCACTCCAGAGAGAATGTCTTTAACCTTTCCCCCAAGAACTGCAGCTTAAGTAAGAAGTACCTGTGCTGTTGGTGCTTGAGTGGTTGTTCTTAGTGTCTGATTACAAATGCTTTAATACAGACCTGCAGTGCAGTATGCAGGTAGCAACCTTGCTTCTGAATGGAACATTCATCTTTGCTCTGGGGATGTTGTTACTCCTTGGATCTGCCAAAAAAAAAAACCCAAACCAGAAATAGCAGTTCTGATAAGGTGAATTTGAAGGACTGATGCTAACAGATATTTATTTCTGAGATAACTTTGGTCTCACAGGTCGTTAAATTAAAAGTTTTCAGTAGTACTGCCTCTACAGTATTTTTCAACTACAAATCACAGGTTTTCCCACAGAATTCTGCTGGAGTGAGAGTGATGCAGTCAGAGAAAACAGAGTAGGGCAAAGGTGGTGGAAAATTGCGTTAAGTTTATCCTGTTGGGCTTGCAGATAAAGTTGTGAGATGTTCTGTGTGAAAAGTTTGAGAAGTATGCAATTAGCAAACTGGACAGTTGCTATTGATCTTAGTTCCTCAGAATCTTTGTTAGTCTTATCTGGGAATTTTAGGTATTTCTAAACATAACTTCGCTTATATGACTCAGGAAATAGGAAGAAATTAAACACGAGAGATGACAAAACAAGACTTAGGGAAAAGTTTTTATTCTGCTTGTTCAGAAGAAATCTGGCCATTGTAGTTACGGTTACATGGTCAGTGTGCAGCTGTGGGTGTAGATGACACTTCCTAAAACATGTTGGCTATTGAGGTTCTCAAATTGTTTACTGTAACATCCATACCTTCAGTTGGGAAGTGTTTGCCAAAAACTGGAGTACAGTCTTTTCAGTGATTTCAGTAACTTGTCAATGAGTGATGAGAGTTGTGATCTGTTTATGCAAATATAACATCAAAGAAAAACATCTTTCAGAATCTAAAGTTCATAGTATGCAGAAGGTTTTGTTACAAATGCCTTGTATTAACAATTATTAGTGAAAATAGTCCTTACAGAAAGTGCTTGTTATGAAACGTGACTGGCTGGTGTCTAGGTTGCTCAAGTGATGGGTAATGAGGTACAGTATGAGTATCTGTGGTTGTTTCAGCTACTACTCATTTTTTGGCTGAAATCTTATGACCGATTCTTTGGTATTTGCTCAAATACAGCAAATGAATATTACTTGGTAAATATTTCTTCCTAAAATTGGACTATAAACAAGCAAGTGCTTTTATTTTCTAGGTTAAAAAATCATTTTGTCCATATGGACCTCTTCTTTGCTGGAAGACATGACTGTATTGAATGTCTCCTCTTTCCCATTTAAAATTTTCATCAGTTTTCTCCTGGTGTATTACGGGTGGCTGTGTGCTGTCACTGCAGCTCATTAATGGTCCGAGTCTCCGTCAAAGTGAAACATCCAAATATTCCAGTTATCTATTGGACGTTTGCCTAATTTTGGCAGAGTGCATGTAGTGACTCAGTTTTTCTTTACCTGTTTACTGGTTTGCTTTGAAACATGATTCATGTTCGCTCTGGTGGAATATGAGTGCCAGCAACATGTTTGTAACTGTTATTAGTTATTACCCATATTCAGAATGTCTGTGTGTGTGCAGACATGAGTTTCTTGAAATTGTAACTATTGTTATTTTCAGGTGTCTCCTTGGAGAGCCTTTTTTTTTTTTTTTTTTTTTTTTTACAATGGAATCGTAGTTCTTTTAATAATGTTTACATGAGAAGAAATAATAGCTATATTTTAAAGCAGACTTAGAAAGTTCTTAAGAAAATCTCCAAGTTTCACTACTGGCTTACCATTACATGTCCTGGAAAGATAAGGCAGGCGAAAATTTTCCAGTGACCAGCGCTGACATCAAGACCTCTTCAGAGGGCTATTTTTTTTTTTGTATAGCCATAATTGTCACTGTCAGCACTATGTGTGTCTGGATGCCAAACATTTGTGGACCTCAGGAAAGAAAGGTGCTTCAAAGGAGTCAATATTTGACTCATTTTTGTATTTAAAGAAAAAACATTGAGTGTTCTTTCTTGGAGATCCTAATCTTTCAGTTAGTAGTACTTCACAAGAAGTTAGGATTCATTCATTAGTGATTTTAAGACTTTTTGTTGTATAAAAATGCAGTGGTTCCTTTGCTATGCTATGCTAATGATTTTGCTTACTCAAGCAGAATAGTCAGGCTAAAGAGAGATACAAATTAATTCCTAATTTTAATGATTTTGCAATAAATTTTGACTTCAGGACTTTGACTGCAGTCTTGTGTTGCTTGGGAGCAAGCAATGGAAGATCCTAGGTGTAGCTGGTCCTGTCCTTAGCCTGTTCTGTGCAAATACTGGGGAACTTCAGGAGCATTTTATAAATCACTAATACTATAAGTAAATTAAGATGGGTCAGTGATGGGCTTTTTAGCTCATCTGACTTTGAGTATTCATCTATATTGAAAAGAAAAGTTAGAGTTCTTATTCTTTCTGTGTTTCAGGACTTAAAATGGCAGGAGAGGATCCATATATTATGGGAGTGTCAGATCCCCAAGTAAGTGGGCTTGTGTATTTTCAATATCCCTCTTTTCTATTCTGGGTCTTTCTGTCTTCCTCTTATACTGTCTTGTCATTTCTTAGGTTTAAGAGCATAGAAATATAAAAGCATTCCAGCTACTTTTATTTTTTAAGCCAGCCTTTCCATGACCAGTAAAGTACCTTACCATTGGTGGAATGGCTGAAGTCTACAGGAGGAACAGGCTTCTTTAAAGAAACATCTCATTTTTGTGACCTGTCTGCCTGTGACGTTTGCTCTGAACTTCCTCCTGTGATAGGCATTAGACTTGATCTGAAAATAAGGCCCCTGACACACTGATAAGTTAATTTGTGTCATTTCTGGTGAAATTTGCATTGATATTGATGACTAGAATGTTCTTTAACTCGCACAGATCTTGGCTTTTCCACAGCAATTCCACATCTCATTAGATCATTTCATGATTCATTTTAATTGTAAGAATAATTTGAGTGGAAGGTTGGAGTGAACAGACCCTTTCTACTCACCTTCATTTCCAAGAAGAGAGGATTTTCTCTTTTATGCTTCTTCCACTTTAGAAGATTTTACTCGACAGCAATTACAGTGGGTTAAGACATGTCAATATTCAAAACACAAACTGTAATTTAGCCTAGGCATTCTGTTTTCTTGCTTTAGAATTTGTAGATTTATTTGAATAAGGAATGTGGTCTGGTGGGGTTTAATTGCAGAATTTGAAATTAAAACTTAAGTGGCTCTTCGAGCAAGTCATGTAGGGTCAGATTTTCAGAATTTGGCATCTCATCTCTTTTGAACAAACAACTGACGACCGCTAGTCTGTAGGCAAAATGCAAGCTTAGAAACTGTGCTGAGCTCAGTGCAGTCATGTCACACTGGTGAAACTTTCACTACTATCGACTTTGCTGGCATTCCTGTTGACAGCAAAAATAAACCAGACATAAAGTGTTTACCTATTGGGATCTGAATGACTGTACATAACTTTGAAATTTGTTCCTAAAAGTTGCTTTAGGAAACGGTTTGTATGTGTAGTAATGAAGAATGTACTCTCTTTCAATATAGATGTTTGCAATGGACCAGCTCATGGGAATGAATACAATATTTAATAATACAGGCTACATCACTTCAGACTTACCACTACGAACAGGTAGGAACTGTTGCTGTTTGATTGTGTTATTTTCGTGCTGTTCCTCCTGGCTTCTTTTCTTTGTTATTGTTGTTTTGTGTGTGTGAAGTTCTTTTCAGAGGCTAGTTTGTTTACATTGTAAGATGTACATTGATTTGACTTCATATTATATCTTCAAGCATCACTTACCTTTATGAAAGTTTCAAGGGAGACAAAATTAATTTTCATTTGACTTGTACAGAAACTGAAAGTTTGTCAGTTAATTGCTTTAACCAAAGAGCTTTGAGTGACCTGTTTTTATAATTATTGTTCTAAATTTGCATACTCAGTGATGTTTGCAGGGTGCAACATGTACTTTTTTTTTTCTCCTTCATCTTAAATAGTATTTTATTTGTCGCAATAATTCTTAAGGTGCTTGTTTTTCACTGATTAAATGTAGAGTATAGGCAACTTCCTGTATCATTCAAATGTGTTTTTCCTTCTTGGTGACTTCTGTGTTTCCTGTAATGTAGCAGTTTGGTATTAAATGTACCTGACGACTTCCGGAATTTTTACACGTTTGAAATCTCAGTGTTAGATTTTGTAACCAAATAGTGAAAATGAGCAAATAGGGTTCTGCAAAAGTCTAATATGTGTTTCTTGCAGGATAGTTCCAGAACAGGAAGATGAAATGTGTTACTCTTTAGCCAGTAGTAGCTGCTTGATCAATCTTGGTTTAGTTTTGGTATTCAATGTCTTTGTACTTATTAATTATAATTTTTAATTTAGAAAATTGCATTTCTCCTGCTTAATTTGTTAAAACAGCTGATTTAAAAGGAGGAGGAGAATAAAAATCTGTTTAACCGTATGAGATTTCTCTTGATTTTCTATCTTTAATATAGTTGGTAATATCTTTTAACACAGCACTTTGTCTTGTTGATTTGCTGAAGTCTATGTTATAAAGACATAGGTAGTATCTTCTGCATTGCAGATTGCTTTATTTTGTTGAAAAAGCAAACCCATATTGTATGTTGTATTTTATATATATTTGAGAAACTTGATAGCAGTGAAGGTGTAAAGGACCGAATGAGATAAGTGATTGGCCTTTTATTTTGTAGTTAAAATTCTACCCTAATGTAATAATAAATGCAGATTTAAAAAATATACACTTACTCTGTCAGTGCTTTTTATGATTTAAAGCATACCTCAGTTTTCTTAACTGAGTAAATGTGAGCAAGGATCAAGACAAACACACGGTACAGATAACTTGTTTCAAGGTAAAATGCACTGATGAGCAAAGCTCTTGACAAATATGGAAAAATATCCAACAAATGAATATTGGTATCATTTATTTGCAGTGCATTTTCAATAAGGCAGGTAAAATTGTACAGTAAGACTCACTTGTGTAAGATTAATGGGCCATCCCTGCTCTCCTAGAGATTTTATGAGACGGTTGACCTTATTGGTATTTTGATTTCCCCACAATGATATCTTTCTTACATCTACCTTTTGAACTTACTTTATAGTCTTCATGCCAGGCTCATTCCATACAAAATATTCAGACATATAAAACTGATTTTCAGATATCTATTTCCTGTCTAAGCTGGAAAACAGCTGTTTAAAAACCATGTGGGTGAGTCAAGAATTCTCTGGAATCTGTAATCTCAAAAGACTGTTTCAGGGCTAGTTCCAGCTATATCCTTAATTAGCAAAATTACTTAGCTGCTGTTTATTAATTTTTCTTTATTGCACTGATCTTGTCTACTGCTGCAGTGTAGCTGGCACATTCTCTGTGTATAAAATGGGATTCAGTCAAGAAGTATGAAATAATCATAGACTCACAGAATGTCTTGTGTTGGGAGGGACCCCAAGGACAATCAAGTTCCACACCCCTGCCACAGGCAGGGTCACCAACCTCCAGTTCTGGTACTAGAGCAGGCTGCCCAGGGTCCCATCCGCCCTGCTTTTGAAAAGCTCCACGGACGGAGCATCCAGAAGGTCTCTGGGCAGCCCACTCCAGTACATCACTGCTCTCTGTGAAGAACTTCCACCTGACATCCCATCTAAACCTTCCTTCCTTGAGCTTAAAACCATTCCCCCTTATCCTGTCACTGTCTACCTGAGTAAAAAGTTGATTCCCCTCCTTGTTATAATTCCCTTTTAAGGTTATCAGAGACGTGAGTTTCAGACTAGATTATTACTTAAATGCCATCTAATTGTGCATTTGTAAATGAACAATGTCAGACTTATTACATTGGCAGGCAGGTGTGATGTATTTATGGATTGCTGTAACATGCCAGTGTAGGTGAATCAACAAATAGCCGGGGAATCTGGGGACTTTCTGATCACAGATGTTCTGTCATCTATTTACAGTAATAGCAGAAAAACATTTGAGATATGAGGCAAGGATTTTCTCCATGCAATTGTCATTGTTCAAATCTTTCTACTCACTTTTTTTTTTCTGTCTCACAGCAGTTTTAAGTAAAAACTGTGGTTAGTGCTTGGTTATTTTGGCTCTAAAGCTGGAGTAGATGGTTATTTGGGTCAAGTTCTACATTTACATTTAAATCTAGAAGGAGTAGTCGTCTGTGTGTGCCTTCTGTGAAAAAAATTATATTTACAACGCCTTTTGTAACAGTGCAAACTGCAGGACCGAGCTGTAAAACACCTTCAGCAGCAAGGGCAGCATGGCATGAAGTCAGCAGGTTCTTTGCTCACTGGGAAGCATCCTGCTTTTGAGAGCCAGGTACTTATCCTTCATGTACTAAGGAGGTGTAGAAGCAGGTATGCAGCAGTGTGATGTCCACTGCTACACTGGGGGACAAAGAAGTGATGCCTTAAATTGGAGAGGAAATAGGAAGAGCTCTGAGCAAAGTCTTTTACAAATTTGGGTGTTTCTTACTGTTTTCTGGTTGTACAATGTTATCTGCAACCATAAAATGTAGTGCTATGTGTACGAGTTAGAGATGTTTTGAATTTTGGAGATATTATTTTGGTTGTAGAGGTTCTCATCTAACCAGCTGTTGGCATTCAAGTGCTGGGTTTTTTTCTTAGTAAAGTTTAGTTCTTACAGACTAAACCTGTGAGGTTGAAGCAGGCTCATCAGCAACTGAAGGATGTCATCTGTAGGCTGTTAAAATTGCACTTTTCTGGTTTTCTTTAACTACCGCTGTTTCTTGAATCTACTCTGCCAAGCCTTCTATGATGCTTGCTGTTGAGAGGAAAGGCGTTGAGGGACGAAAAAGATGCTGTTAAAAATAAAAAAAAAAAAAAAAAAAAAAGCATTTCATATTTTTTCAGAGAGAAAGATATTCCTAGGAAGAGATTCAGGGCAGATGACAGTCACCAAAAATGAGATGGGTATTCATTTTCCTGTCTCAAATCAGTGGCCCCAGTCCTCACAAGCATGGGCAGACTTGCCTATGGCTCTTGGTATTTTTTTCTAGATCTGCTGTGCTTGTCTACTGAAGAGTGAAAAGGAGGAGGAAGGAGATTAAGCAGAGCTCATGTGCTGCTTGCTTTAAATATCACACTTCAAACTGTATACTGTGTTCCTATGAGGGTAGATCCCTGACAAGAGGATAACTTGTAAATCACAGAACAGTTTGAAATGGAAGGGTCCATTTAGTTCCAACCCCCTTGCTATGGGCAGGAACACCTCCCTCTAGTCCAGGTTGCACAAAGCTCCATCCTGCCTGGCCTTGAACGCTTCCAGGGATGGGGGATCCTGATTTTAACTGAGATAATTTTCTATTTTTTTAGTAGCTGGTATAGTAGCTGTGTTTTGGATTTAGGTTTAAAATTTGCTGATAGTGCACTGATGTTTTAGTTGTTGCTGAGCAGTGCTTACAATGTAAGGACTCTTTGGTTTCTCACACTGCCCTGCCATTGAGGAGGGTGGAGGTGCTCAGGAAGATGGAAGGGAACAGAACCGGGTCAGCTGCCCCCTGCTAGATATAAGGCATCATGCTGAAAAATAAAACTGAAGATTTGGGTGGGAAACTACTGCTTAGGGAATGTCTGGGCATGGGTCAGCCAGTGGTGAGTAATTGCATTGTGCTTTACTTGGGATTTTTATTCTTGGTTTGTTTTTTGCCTTCCCCACCCCCCTTCGTATTAAACTGACCTTATCTCAACCCATGAGTTTATATTCTTTTTTTTTGTAGTTATTTTTTAATGCTCTCTCCCTTTCCACAGAGTGGAGAGCAATCATCTATGTGGTGCTTAGCTGCCTGCTGGGTTAAGTCACAATGGAGGGGGATCCACAGCTTCTCTGTGTAGCCTACTGCAGTGCCTCACCACCCTCAGAGTGAAGATTTTCTTCTAATATCTAATCTGAATCTAGTCTTTTTTAGTTTAAATTCCTGATGGAATTTCTCTCTTCATCTTTCCTGTAGTCCTCCTTTAGTACTAGAAGGCTGCTGGAACGTTTCCCTTGAGCCTTCTCTTCTCCAGGCTGAACAACCTCAGCTCTCTGAGCCTGTTCTTCATAGGAGAGATACTCCAGGCCATCTGCTCATCCCTGTCACCCTCCTCTGGGCTCACTCCAGTCTGAGCGTGTAGCAGCAATGTACCCCTTCCAGGGCCAACTCAGGAGTGACTGTATTGGGTTTAATAGCCAAGACCGTGAGGCTGTGAATGGTTTCATCCATATCCACAGAGTTAAACAGCACAGTTACAAGGATGAGGTGCAGTACAGCTGTATTGAGGGAACAGAGAGGAGGTGTGGAGAGGATGTGATCGGAGCAGATTCCCTTGAATGTCTTCAAGTACTAAGGAAGCTGCTAGATAAAGGACACACCAAGTGCCACGGTGCTGCCAGGCCTGCAAAGATATCATACCAACATTGCATCCCATTGTTCTTTGGCTTGGCTTTGACGAGAAGAATGTAGCTAAGATGGGTGCTGCTTTGCAAAGTGTGTGTGCAGGATGAGGCCTGTCAAGAGGAAGAAGGAAGAAGTGGTGGGAGTATTACGATGCAGGAGGGCCTCTGACTCAGGCAGGAAGAAGAATGAAGAAATACAGCAGTTAAAGGAGATGTGGGGAAGTGCAACTGTGACTCAGGCTGGAAGGGAGGTAGTAGGATGTGAGTTGGCCTGTGGCGAGTGAAGGGAGAAGACAGAAAAGGAAGCACTGAAGTATCAGAAAGTGGGAGTGCACCGAACTGGCTAGGGTAATAATGTGTGATTGAGTTGCAGTCCACGGCCCTCCTGGTTGTGCAGCAGTGCCAGGCAAGTCATGAGGAGTCCTTGACAATACCTGGCAGCTGTGGCAGTTGTTCCTATGTGGAGAGGAACTCCATTTCTGCATCCTGCTTCAGCCTCTTTAGAGCAAAAGTGGAGGTAAAGCTGTGTGTTTAGTAGCATACCTTTTTCTGGCTGTGTAACACCTAAAAGGGGGTTGGTTGTTGTAAAAGAACTTGAAGAATACAACTTTAATTGGGCTGCTTCAAAGGTGCAGATGTTTGTCTCAAATCTTATCATTATTCACTCCGTTTGCAAGGTGTACACCTTCAGCTTTTGTTTGTTTAGACTAGACATGCCTACTTAGTAGAAATGAACTATTAGGAAACTTCCCTGTGCAAAATACTTCACCTTCTTTCATATTTTTTTCTTCCTCAGGAAAGATTTGAGAGGAAGAGAGGAAGAAATGGAGAAGGGACCACATAATAAATGTTAGGCTGTCTAATGTATTTCTGGAAAGTATTCAGAATCTAGGGAGAGTTGGCTGCATTACGTCTTGCAAAGTGGAATTCTTTTCATAGTCAATATATTACTTTGCTTGAAAGTTACTTTGAATATTGCCTCTTTATTTTTAAATAGAAGTTTTGGTATAATTAAATGCCTTAGTATGCCTTCTCTGTCCACTTGCTCAGATGTGCTTCATATGCTATACCAGCATATTAACATAGAGATAGGAAAAGAGAAAATGGCTGTTCTTACAACCCAAAAACTAAAATAAGGTCTTGCAAAACATTGTTTTACATAAATTGGTATATTTTTGATTCATCTGTTTGCTGTCACTTATTAATGTCAGCAGATATAATTTGCTTTTAGACGTTTACTCTGCAACTTTTTGTGTACTTTCCTAGTATTGGTATTTAAGATACTTTGATTTTTCTTAGGTTTGTGTGATTTTTGTAAGTTTTTGTTTTGTTTTGTTCTTTCCCTCCAAGGAGGCACAAATGCTAGTGTCCTACATTTTTCATTTTCCTGCATGCAAGGTGAAACTATGTCAGTAGTACAAAGAATTCCCCTTAAGCTTTCCACTAGGCCCGTGTAACGTAGATCCTCTCGTAGGCATATGAACTCCCTCATGCTGACCTGTTGAACCTGGACCTGCTGCTTCGTAGTGGACTTCTGTAACCACTCAGCTTTTGTATAAAGGAGTACTTTGTTTTTCTGGCTTAATGGTTGAGAGAGAGCAGTGGGATTTTGTGCTAATTCTAGTCCCAAGTATATGCCTTGAAAGTGAATTCCTAAGGAGAAAACAGTCAAAGAGCTGCTTGGTGGGTCATGACCTGGATAAAGGCTTGGTTGAGAATTGAGTTACACCGTTGTATTTAAATGTGAATTATTTCTGCCAGTGCTCAGAGGGTGCAAGGCCTCTGGATTGCTAAAGTGTAACGTGAAGTATAACATTTCAGATGCCTAAAGAATGGGAGGGTTTGCTGGCCTGTTCGCAGATAAAAGTGCCAGTTAAATGTGAGTGCAGTATCGTACTTAAACCTAACTTTAAACCTAACTTTATTCATCTTGACTCCATGTTACACACACACACACACACACACACACACACACACACAAAAAGCAGAGAATCACACTAAAATTAAATATTAATCTACATATTTTAAAATTTCTAAAGTCTAAAATATTTTTTCATGCTTTCCAGTGTAAAATGATGTATATTTTTTTCTTGAAGTAGTTACTTACATGACTTCAAGGATTTTGGTTGTAGTGCTGTTTACTTTTTCACAGGAAGAGTGTTGGACTTGGGAAATAAATGATCTTTATATGTGTAATTGTTATGACTGGCATTTACAATGTAACTTTGAGATGAAATAAATTCATTTGCTGGCTTTGACAGCAAAATAAAAATTATATCTATTAGCTTACTTACCCAAATTTTTCATTTTGAGAGAAAGCTGTTCAGTTAAGAAAATGTCCAAAGACATGAAGGTCTGTTTTATTAAAGATAAGTTGTAGTGAGGAACAGGGAAGGACACATGAAGTTGTGCTGCAAACTATAAATAAGCATATTCTCTGCCACTTCTAGTTGTCAGTGAACGTGAGGGTATCGGTAGATGGAAGCTGATACAAGTATGTAGTTCTGTGCCTGAGCCAAGTACTATCTGATTGAGGTGGCTGGATTGCATGGTACTTGGTACAAATACGTGCAGATGTTCAGAGGCTGATCATGCCTTCTTTTGGATGTTGACAAGGCGTGATATGCTCGTGTATGCTTGTAGGCCTGCCATGTGACTTCATGCTGTCCATTCTGAAGGTTTCATGTGTACCAGCGAACTTGCTAGATTCCTCAATATTAATAACTTTAATAGGGTATAAGTAATGAATGATGCATAACTCCAACAGGAGTATAGCTGGCAATAAATTATGCAGGTGTTCACAGCAAGCAAAGCTGTTGTTTGGAGTCTGCTTTGATAACAACTGAATTCTTAGTGTTGAAATCCTCTTCTTTGTTGGTAAAGAAGCAGAAAAGAAATTTTACCTTTGAGGCAATTAATTCTCAACTCTGGTAGATGTTTCTGCTGGTGAATTTTGAATGAGCTTTATGGTTTTAAGTTAGCTAGCATTTAGGGAATGATGCAAGGCTTGAACTAAGTAAAGCTAATAGGTCTTGTCTGAAAACAAACAGAATTTATTAGAATGTAACTCCACGTATTGACAATATGGACAAATTTCATTATAGTTTGTAGTTAAATAGAGTGTGTTCCATATTTTAGAGACACTGAAGAACAATTTATTTTAAAGTATATCTGAAATTATTAAAAGAATGAAAATTGTTTAGGCTCCTCAATCCCATTTTCTAAAGCAGATCTGACTGTTAAGACATGTTGAGACAGCTTAAATTCCTCCTATATTCCCATACCTCAGAGCTTCCCATTGGCTGTCTGAAGACTTTCAAGAGCACCTAGACACTAGGAAGCCCTGAGGCCAGGGCTTGGTGAATACAATCTTTAGAGCCTAAGGGGTTTAAATACAAAATTTAACCTTCACTCAGGAAGGCCAGCCTGCTCATCAGTGGCAAGAAGAGAATCCTTTTCTTACTGCTGAGTGTCTTAACTGGCTGATCTGAGTTGCCCCTTTATGTCCTCTGAGCTGAAATTAAGCTTTTGTAAATTATTAATTCCCTTCTTACTCCACTGGTCTTGGTAAAGATTAGCAGTGGTTGACTTTCTACTAATTATATTATTCATTATAATTTTATTTATGTTCTGAACATGCTTAGTTGCTTTCAGAAATGTCAAGACATTGAAAGACATCAGTTTTATCCCTGTAAGTCATGATTCATAGCAATAGAAATACAATTTGCATTAACACTTTTCTTTTATGTTAGCAGATGGACCGTACCTTCAAATCATTGAACAGCCAAAACAGGTAAGAGCACTACATTTGGAAAGTCTTTGCAGTACCTATGTCACTGTGTTCAGCTACAAATGAAACTGTAACTTACGATGAGAAAAAAAGTGTTGAGGAGGTTAAACTTAATAACAAATATTGCACTTAACTATAAGCATTTTTTCCTCTTGCTTTTGTAGTTAAATCGTTTCCTGTTTTGTTCTGTCTTCATTTCTGTGTCTCTCTGGAAGAGTCTAAGAAAAAAAAAAAAACCAAAAAAAAACAACTGAGGGTTTAAAAACTACCTTGCTAGATGTAGGCTTTTAATCTTAGAAATTACTCTTTAGTGCCCCAGTATTTGGAAATATAAATTAATAGGCATGGAAGATTTTTAGAATTTGTTTCATGTTTCTTGGAAGATGCGAAAGGAAAAGAAAAAAAAAAAAAAAAGCAACAATTCTGTTCCCGGAAGAATTTGACCTGTTTTTTGCCATCGTGAAGAAATGATGTTGTCCTTTGAGATTCCTGTTTTCACTGTTAGCTGTTCTGAATAACTCAAGAAAAAATGAGAAGTAATTCTTGAAAGTACCTTTTTGTGACTCAGATGCTCACTTAAGCTGCCCTGGTGGTGTCAAATTCATCCCTATGCACTGGTTAGTTTTCCTGCAGCAGAAGTAAAAAGTTGCATAAAATCCTAGATTGAGCAGCTGTTAGGTGGACAAGAGAGTCCAGAAGCTCCCTCAGCCTGTCTTCATAGGGGAGGTGCTCCAGTCCCTGATTGTCTTCGTGGCCCTCCTCTGGACCATCTCCAACAGCTCCCTGTCTTTAATGTACTGGGGGCTCCAGACTGGGATGCAGCACTCCAGATGGGGCCTCACAAGAGCACAGTAGAGGGGTACAATCACCTCTCTGTCCCTGCTGGCCACTCCGTTTCTCTTTGTTTTAGTTCATCCTAAATCAGGTCATGTCTCTGCATGGCAGAGCCTGTAGTGTGCAGTGTCTAAAAGGAAGCCACTATTTCCATCCATGACATTCCTGTAAGCAGCTCTGTAGTGCAGTACCCATGTAGCAAGCTGAGCAAAGGTTTATACAGTGTCATAAGAGTGATCCACAGGCAAAGCGCTGTGCTTGTGATCATTTTGGGCATAAAGAGGCAGCAGAGAAATATAGGACTGTCTGTGTGAGAACACAGCTAGCACTGCAAGGGTGATAGACTGGGGAAGGCTACTCAAATGTCTGCTAGACCTTTAGGCTGTGAGGCATGGCAAGTGAAGAGAGCCTCAGTCATTCCACACATAATGACTCTGGAAACTGCTTTGTCTGCTGGATGCCTTGAGCTCAGGCTCATAGTTGAGCACTTCACTTTGTTGCTCAACACTCTGTGTGAAAGCAGATATGTTATTTAGAATTGATTACATTGTGTGGTTAGAATCTGAACAAAAGACAGATCTTTCAATTTGCTTGAAAGGCATATTCATAAACTGAAAAGGTTTCAGTGAGAATAGATGCTAATAATTACAGAGTAATTTTTTGAGCGAGTTCAGTGTCAGCTAATAGAGGCATCAAACTTAGAGATGCCTTCTATTAGACAAAAGCTAAAGATCTTTCATGAAGAATGCAACACTTAATGGATGGCCTTGAATACATCAGGAGGACTGTGCGTAACGGGCTGTGTCAGAATTTGCAGGACTGGCAAGTAGGTCTGAAAGTATTCAGGGGTGGAAGGGGGCATGTAAAATAGCGTAGCTAAGTAGAGTTAAGAGTTACCAAGTACATTTGCTTAAAATTCACATCTTCTGTATCATATAGAGGTCTGAGTAAAGCAAAGGGAATATGATTTTCCTGTAAATAAAAATGGAATACATAGACTGCCATGCTCTAGAGTGATTGCTAATGGGTCATTCAGAGTGCCCTGAAACTTTTTGCAAGGCTCCTGGGCTTCGCTCTGCTCCAAGCTACAACTTCCATGTATTCTTCCCACGAGGAAAAAGGATTTCAGTTTCATCCATATTCTTTTCTCTGTGATGCTTTTTTTCCCTGGTTGTTTGCAATCTCTACCTAACATCTATTGTGACAGAAATAGCATCTATTCTTGTATTCTCTGTCATTTATTTATCATCTTGTTTTGAGAGTATAAATATATCTCTGCTTCAGAATGTCTTCACTGACTGAAAGGAGAATTTCTGGCTGTTTATAATGTGTAACAGTGGGAATAGAAGAGTTTACCTGGGGCTAGCTCAGTGGTGCTTTGTCAGCCGTCATTCAGACAGCATTTCAGTGATGAACAGTTGTAGCTTTACCAATTGTGGGCTGTTTGGGCAAGTTGTGTGTGTGTGCATGCATGTGCTTTTTTCAGTTTTGTTTTCAAAGAGCTTTCAAGTTTCTTTTTATTTCCACAGAGGGGCTTTCGATTCCGATACGTATGCGAAGGGCCTTCACACGGTGGACTTCCTGGTGCTTCCAGTGAAAAGAACAAAAAGTCATACCCCCAAGTCAAGGTAAGGACATAAAGCATTAATATTTCGCAGACTGAATGTAAGCATATGTAAGGACCCTACTGCAAATCAACATACTTTATTATGAAATTACTCACTTTATATGAAATTGACTGCACTTCATGTCCCACTTTAAGAGTGTAATTGGTTTAAAAAGAAAGTAGTTTTCAGATTCATAGAGTTATTTTGGCACCCTGTTTATGTATCAGCTGTTGAGCAGTAATCTTTCCTGCACCTACCCCTCACTGCACTGCTCCTGCTCTTACCAATGGAGTTCTTCCCTAAGGTGTGGTTTTAGTATAATGCATGGTCTGAGCTGGTTGGTTACTCTACTGCTTGCATAATGTATAGCTTGAGTCTGCTTAGTTATCCCAGTCCAGTCTGAAATGCTATTTACCTGCTTTCCCTCCCTTGTCTGTTCATGTTACTCCTTACTCAATGCCTCTAGGATATTAAGTCCTTAGGTTCTTAAGGATTTAATCCAGATAACTTTAAAATCAACCAAAATGTGTCATTTAAACAGGAGTAGCACTATATTCAGGAGTTCCAAACCCTTTTTTTCTTTCCAGGAAAAAGATTGAGCATGTTAATTAAAGAAACATTCAGAACTAGCACACTGTGAAGACTATAACAGTGATGGTTAACTGTTCTAGGATTAGGGATGGACTTTTATTGCCTAAGGTTCTTGCAGAAAATCCTTTCTGTGTAGAAGAGAGGAAAACATAAACTGTGTGTTTTCTGCTTTTTTTTCTTTTTGTTCGAAGTTAATGAAAGTCTCAGTCTTGTTGTTACATTACATCTTTGTTGAGCTTTTACACTAGAGATTGTATCACGAGGAGCAGGATTAATATCTTTTAATTCTGGTGTTGTCTTCTTTGGAAGAAGACAAGGGAATGGAAAGGGTGGCAAGCAGTCAGTCTCTGTACCAGGCCTTGCTGTGTGCTGCTTGTCAACTTTCTCTTGTACGTGTGTGCAGTTCTTCTGCAGTTCTTGAGAAAGGCTAAAGTTTGGAACAACTGCATCTCCAGAATGAATCAGTACATGCATGACTCAATGGAAAATAATCAGCATTGGTTAAGATAGCCTAGGGTGTTTTAGTCTGGCAAATTGAGAGAAGGATGAGAAATTCAGCCTTGCAAAACTGTTAGGAAAAACTACTAGCCCAGGCAAAGGTTCTACTTGCATTTTCCTTTCCTATTGTGATGGTGATGATGAACCAGAGAATAAAATTTACTGGTATGGTTCATATGAAAATTATGTACCTCAGTGATGCCATGTCTTTGGATTACAATTCCATCTATATTGATAATTAATAAAAATATCAAATGTTATTGATAATAATTGTCATGCTGTTGTGTTTCCTAAAGGTGTCATGGGACTTACAATAGTATGACAAGTATACACACAATGAGAAGTTCTGTAGGGAATGGAATTTTTCCATGGAAAAACTAGAAAGCAAAACGTTCTTTGGCTTTCCATCAAACCTCCTGTTTTCATTGATCATCAGATTTTAATTTCATCTAAAGCTCTCCCAGCACACGTGTCCCGTCCCCTCCCTCCCTCCCTCTTGTCCTACTGTGTGCATCTGGGTTTTTTCTACTACAAATCCCCACATGGCAACACCTGCTGGGAGAGGCTGGCAAAGGAACACAACAAGTAAATTCCTCAAGGCCGTTACTTGTTACTGCTTGTTCTTGATTCAAGTGGTGCCAGCGAATATAGAAGCATTTCACACCTTTTCCTGTAAGTCTCTCTGGTGTTTTGTCAAAGGGTGCTCACCTTGTTGTAAATGAGGTGAGCACGCTTGAAGGTTACTCTATTTTATTTAATTTTCTATAGTTACACCACGACTTTCACCATAGAACTTTCATTTGCTGATCATAGTGATGTGAAAGGACAGTAGCGTGTTTTGACTTCAATGTAAAAAAAAAAAAACAAAACAAAACCAAAACAAACTCATCTTTGTAACAGATCTTTAAACCTTGGCTATGAGGTGATCTGTACAGCTCACACCAGGATCTTCTGCTTAGCCAACTCTGCACAAAAAGCTGATGTAACTTATCAATAGGCACCACCGAGTGTTCTGAGAACAGACATTTTCAGTGGAAAAAAAAAAAAGCATGGTAGTCTAACTGCACCCTTTTCATAGGATTATGCATTGTAGAACTGAAGAAAACACAGTGATCTGATATGACCTCTTGAATAATGTCAACTACTGAATCTCAATCGTTTTTTTCCCTGCACCTACTCCCTTACTTCTAGCTGAGCTGGAACGTATGAAGATGTGCCTTTCATTTAAAGGCTGGAGAGCTGAAGACTGCCATGTCTCTAAGCAAGATGTTTTGGTAGTTAATTACATATTTAACCACACCCTGTAGAGCTTATTAGGAGATGGTGCATGTCAGGAGTTAGTGTAGCAGTTCTGCTTTGCATTTGAGACAAAACTGCACTGCCTGGTAACTTGGAATTGATTTTAAGACTCTAGTTTTAACAGCATATATGGCCTTGTTAGCCAAGGATAGAATTCATTCAGCTTAATGGAATTGTATTCCTTTATTTACAGCTCTTTGCTATCAGTAATCGTACTAGTATGTACAAAAACTGTTCCGTACTTACAAGATTACATGAGTTCTATATATCCTTACAGAGAAGCTGTAGATATCGAACAAAGTATAACGAGGAACTTCTTTGCTGTCCAGAGAGGTTGTGGAATCCCAGTCTCTCCCAGGACCTCTCTGAATGCCTACCTGTGTGATCTGCTGTAGAGAACCTGCTTTAGCAGGCGGGTTGGACTTGAAAATCCCTAGAGGTCCCTTCCAACCCCTACAGTTTTGTGATTCTGTGAAGCTAGATTTAATAATAAGTTATGTAAAATTATTCATTTAAATTTCATTTTTGTCTGCTTAGTGGAAACAGTGCAACAGTGGAAAATTGTAATGTTTAGAACAGTTGAAATTACGGCTTTTGAGCTGTTGACTCTTTATCAGTTTTATCAGCTTGTTCAAGCAAAGAATGATTGGGAGTTCTCTATAGTTGTTCTATATCCAAATAATAGCAGATATGCTTTCCTAAAATCTTCTGAAGAGTTTTATGAAAAAAAAAAAACACCACCACCACCAAAAGAACAAAACTGGGTTGTCTGATATCACCAGCTTACTGAACTATCTTCCATTCTTATTCATAAGTTGCTTGTTCTGATATATTTGGAAAACTGCCAGAAAACTTCCATAGAATATTTCCACTTGCCTTTTTTACATGTTTGTATGTCCTGATCTTTTAGACTGATATTGGTGTATTCAGGCTTGACACTGATACAGTTTTGGGTGTGAAAAGAATTTACTGAAAACTGTGGTGTGACGGAAATGTCCTGAGTTTTCATTTCCCTTGGGGAAATTCTACATGGGTGGCTGCACACAATTTCAAGTTGTCTATTCTGTGAGCTGGATGTAAATGAGTTTCAGCCTAGAGGCTGAGTAACCGCACTGCTCAGAGATGTGCCCGAGCTAATGAGCACCGTCTCTGTACCCAGGAGTTTGGATGTAATGCAGTTCAGCTTGAGGATCAAAGCCGAGTCCCATTTAGGCAGCCCTGAACTCGGGTACCCAAGTAGGAGCACTGCCCATCCAGGCATGTCCTTAGGCTATCCTAAATTATACTTCAATTTGGAGATAAGCGTTCTCATTGAAATCAGGGGGATTTCAGCACCTAATTCAAGTTCAGGAGGAACATTTGCAGAACATGAGGCGAGTTGTTTGGTTGATGAACTTTCTTGTTGAAGAAAGCTTTTTCCACCCCATAGGAATTAAATTGTGGAGTGTCAGTTTGCTGATTACAGGTTAAAGATTAATTCATTCAAGAGCGGAATTAAGAAATAATCACTAATGGAGAATAAACAGATGTTTTTCTTATAAATCTGTAATACTTATTGAAAGCCTGCACTGAAGCAAGTCAGCCGTAGGTAAATTCATTGAGATCTGTGCTTTTTGCTGCCATAGTTGGTTAGGCTGAGTCTGGAGTGCTGAGTCCATTTACTCAGGCTCCTAAAGCAGCGCATCGAAGTCTGTGACCTCACATTCGGGGAGGATCAAAAGCTTTGAAACTCCCACTGATTTAAGTTACTGTACATTGCTTACTGTCAGGCTTTTAAATAAGTACTTTAGTGCCTAAAAAATTCCTACCACGTTTGAAATGTATGTTAAGCTGGCAACTCATATTTGGCATTTATAAAGAATGAGTGATGCCTCATCTGTGGAACTTTTCTTGTGTGTGTGTGTGTATTTATGACAGCACTGCTGGTCATACTCAAAAGGTCAGGCAAGATTGGGGATGTAGCTTCTATAACAAAACGATTAGAAAGAGAAATACTTATTTTTATCATTGCTGGCTTTGTATGTTTGACATGGTCTTTTCCATCATTTGCTTTCTTTAGTTAACTAGTCGGTTTCACTTCTTGCTTGTATGAGTAACTGGAAAAAACATCTTTCAAGTAGAAAGATGTTTTTATGAAGTTTTTGTAAAGTTGTAGGATGTATTTAAAAAAATGTAGGGGGTTGGATCTCAAAAAGATGTGGAATAGCTGAAAAAAAAAATTCAACTTTCATTTTGAAATTGAGTAAATTTCAAGTTCAGAGAGTCCTTTTAATCTCTCAGGCAAATCTCTCTCAAACAGGAACAGCCGATAACTGGGAGCCTGCAGCATTTTAACTTTTATCAGATTAGATCAATTGAATGCTGCTTCAGTGCGGGATGTAATCAAGTATTACAGCTATGCTTCTTCCCATGAACTCCTTATTTTCTTTTTTCTCCCTTGTCTTCAATTTGATGTTCAGTTACTGTTGTTTTTGAGTTCGCAGATCTGCTTTGGAGCAGTAGAGCACCCAACTGCTGTCTCCATCTCATATTGCAAATAGTTTTTTTCTGCCAGTGCCATAATCTTTGTATTCCTGTACGGATATCCAGTATTGTAATATGCTGTCTACCTTCTAGCACCTTTGATTGCATTTTCTATGTGAAGTAAAAGGTGGCAGTTATTTGTATATATTAATACCAGAATACATTTTGGGTTATTCAGCAATTGTGATGGTGTCGATGATTCAAGGATACCCCAAAATGATTTCAGGCTTGTTTTAGATTACATAAGGATGGTTAACCACTGGGGCTGTTTTTCTGGGTGCAGATGAGCTGGATGTCACAAAATCTCTTAGGAAGGTCCATCTGTAAAGCAAACATGTAGGAAGCATCCTATAGCCTTTGCAGCATAGAATGTCAGCCTAGAAAAAAGTCTTTTCTTGCCAGATGATCTATATAAGGTATTACATTTTTAGAACAATTTTTTTTTTTCTTTTTTTTTCCCCCCCCCCCCTAAGAAGAGACTACAAAGATGGTGCTGAGCTGAGTAACATGGGAAGATTGCAATCTGGTTACCACTGCAGCTATATGTTCTGCTTTCAGAGGCTGGAAAGTCCTTGCCGTGCACCAGTCCTACCTAAAGTTTCACTGTGGTTTCTACAGCTGATGAAGGGTTGTCTTGAACTTTACTGAAGTGACACAAGACCATGCATGTTACTCATAATGAATATAACACTGTAGATGTGCTCGGAACTTTCTAGCAGGGAAAGCCTTTCTTAGGGATGAAAAGAAAATATTTTTGAAAACCTAGTTGTAGTAATGAAGGTGACATTTAGCACAAAATATAATGTTTATATTTTCAGTTCATTTTATGAATGTTACACAGACTCCTGCATTTTCTCACTGCTGAGAATGATGGAAATGACAAAGCAGTGATGATTATTCTGCACGTTTGTATTGTTTCAGTCCAGGAGTGATGACAGTTTGGGAACAGACAGAAGCACGAGTTCCCCCATGTTTCATATTTTAGAAAGCACCACTTGTAAAATACTCATGACTACGGTTTTATACGGTTATCTCACCAGCAACGAGTAGTGAGAAGACCTTTTCACACCTGTTTCTCCTGGAACTGCTTTTTCATACTTTGGGGTTTTTTATTGTTAGCAGCAAATTGGAAGGCGTCGAAGACGCACGTTATGCAGAGTGTTTCAGCTGTGATGGAATGGATTCAAAGAGGGGTTAAATGGAGTGAAGGAGGCTAGCAGGACTTATAATGTGGTGAAGTCGTGGCAATCCCCGGTTATCAGCGTTTTATCAACAATATAACCTTAAGTGTTCAGTTCATCACTGATTCATCACTTTAATGTTCATCGTGATCCTTTAATACCTTGGTTGATTAGATCTATAAGCTGCTGTAATACAAAGAACTTTTCCTCAGGCAAATCAGAAGAAACCTTAGAGGAGGAGGGAAAAAACCAACATTGATAAAAGGGTTAATTAAGTGAATTGGAAGGGAAGGTAATGTTTGCTTTTTTTTAAATCAAGATAATTTTATATTTGTTATAATTTGAAAATGATGCATAACAGATAACTGAGTTGAAGTATATTATCCATGAGGAGAACAAATAATGTTTTAAATAATATGTAAAACAAATAACTGGTATTAATAAATGGTACTTTGTTGGTAATTTTAGATATATATATATATATATATATCTATGTATTTTTTTAACATTACTTGACATCACGATTTTAAAAGCTGCTGAGAATGTATGGTGACCAGGAGTTCTGATGGAGGGGGGAAGGAAGCTTTCTAGTGCTCCAGAGTGCCTATGAAGGCATCCAGATAATCCTAAATGCAGTCCTATAAAACCTTAGATGGTGTTTTAGTGTACATCCTCACCTACACTTACAGAAGTATTTACTGGGCTGGTTTATGTGTTGATGTCACTTGTGATCTAACAAAATACCTTTGAATACAGAATTGTTCCACTTCAAAATCTCTACCTGAGTGATCATTGTAATGAGAGCAAAGTGCTTTAAAGTGATCATAGTATTTACAATTATTTGAAAACATTTTTGAGTTTGGCAAAAAAAAAACCCAGATATTTAGTTGAATAGATGCATTTTTAATGCGATTCTTAACATGTAACAATGTCTAATGTGAATTTAATGTACTAAGTTAAGTTTATGTAGAGCAATGTGGTATAACTAGCCAGAATATAAAGCTAATAATAGTGATATGGGAAACAGGAGATTGCTTTTCCTTATGTTTGTTTTACTTCTTTCCTTTTTCTGTCACTACTTCTGCCATTTGTGTATCAATTTTAATTACAAATGAATCACTGGCTTTTTTTTTTTGTGATGACCTCATACAGTTAGTTTTTCTCGTGAGTAAAAACACATTTCTCCTAAGCAAGCTTGATTGTACTTAGCTGACAGAAAATATTCCACTGGAATTACTGTTCCATTTTTAAAAACATCAGTTTTACATTTATTTACAGATTTGCAACTATGTTGGACCTGCAAAAGTAATTGTCCAGTTAGTTACTAATGGGAAATACGTGCACTTACACGCTCACAGCTTGGTGGGTAAATTTTGTGAAGATGGAGTGTGCACAGTCAATGCAGGACCGAAAGACATGGTTGTTGGGTAAGTCTGTCAAATGTATTTGTTAAGTTCAGCCAAGAGGGAGAGAATCGATTTTTGTCACAGTTCTGATCAGTGTTTCACCTTTGCTGAAACCTGCCGTAGAAATACAGTGAAGAGAAAAGCTTTAAGAAAGTGAGGTTAGTAAATTTGAAATTAAGGCAAGACAGGTATAAACATGAAAATACTAAATGAGTCAAACTTCTTAAGTTTAAAGCAATAAGATTATAGTGAAGTTGTAGTTGGTCTGTTCTTGTTTAATTTAAAGGAGTAATTGTTTATATCAGTAAATGCAACTCAGGCTCCTGTCTACGTTTTCAGTCTTAGATCAGGTTTCATGCTGGCTGTGAGTTTTACTTCTGTGATCTCAAGAATGTCTTTGTTGGTAAAGAAGTAGTTTAAAAAGCTGAGAAGGTTGGGAAAGAGAGATTCTTTTAAACTGTAACTTTTGATGTCCAAGCCCAGTGTGCTGACTTTACCAAGCACAGCAATTTAAATAACTTTATTTGAAATGCTCCTTTTCATCTTGAAAAGTTTGGCTCATTTCCTAACCTGTCTTGTTTTTCATCAAATGTTTAGAAATAGCTTTCCTATCCTCAATTGACCCAAAATTGAGTTATTGTCTTGATTTCGTACTTCCAGATCTAATTGATTTTTGAATGTGCCAGGGGACTTTTACTAAAGCACATCTTGTATTACAGATATTGTCATTCTAACAGATACCCGAAGTGTCTTGCTGAATGTCCAGAACCTGGCTTCAACCATTTTCTTTGAAAAATGTACTCTGCTTTTAGCTTTTTAGCTTGCTCTCCAAATCAATTTGATCTGACCAAACCTTTTCTGATAGATTACTTTCACGGGAGGTGTAGAATTACATATTAATGACAGCTCAAACAAAGCGTGACAATTAAATTTTGAAATGTTTTATAAATTGCTTCCACACCATAAGCCTGAAAACTTAAAGGTTACTTCCTGCGCCATGGGAAAATCCTGTGCACCCATCTGATCGCTGCCGTACGATGGTGTGCATTTGACATGCTTTTTAAGCTTGGCTGAAATTGTCATGCTGGAGTTCATTGGAAATGCTTCCTCCAGATAAGAGAACGACTGCCTGCTGCAGGTTTGCCTAAAGCATGACAAAATCAATTAATCAACATTCGGCAGGTTTGCAAACCTTGGAATACTTCACGTCACGAAGAAGAAAGTGTTTGAAACTCTGGAAACGCGCATGATCGATGCTTGCAAAAAAGGATACAACCCAGGACTCTTGGTGCATCCTGAACTTAGCTATCTGCAGGCAGAAGGATGTGGAGACAGACAGCTAACTGGTATGTGGAAACAATGATCTGATTTTAATAGGTTTTTAGAAAGAAAAAAAGAAAGAAAAAAGAAAATGGCTTAGCATCTGAAAATGCAAATTTTTACCCAGAAAAAGACCCTGAGTAGGAAAACAGCTTATGGCTATGCAGTAAGAGGTTGTATATTACTGCTGTGTTTTAGGGAATCAGAAAGTCTTTTGCTGTGAATGAGAATGGATCAACTTCTTCCGTAGCTACCTGTACTCACCTCTGCACTTGTGTTTCACTGTTCTTATCCCATTTAATTGAGTGATAAATAGTCATTTTGTGTTACTGCTGTGAGACATGGTATCTTTAACTGTGGGGACCTTGTCAGAGAATACCTTTCTTCATTCACCTGCACTCCACCCACATCCCTGTTAAAGTTTGGGTCTGTATTGCTTTCAGGAGCTGTATCGAGGGGCTGGCCTTTTCTTTATCACTGGTGCTAGACATTCAAATTTCATTAGAGGCAGAGTCCATCCTTTTCACAACCTTTATGAACAGAGAGCAGAAAAGAGTCTTTGTGTCTCTTAATTATATACCTTATCTTAAATAACATGTGGCTCACAAACTTCAAATTGAATGCAGTATATTGTAAATAGCTTCTCCTCTATGAACAGAAAGATGGAAACTGATGGGTACTAAGTGAAAAATAAGTTACTCTTGGTGCCTATCGATAGTAATGCTTGAAAAATGCTCAGTCTCCCCACCTTGTGCTAATTTGACTGTGCTAATTTATTGGTTCCAGAACGAGAAAGAGAAATTATTCGCCAGGCAGCAGTTCAGCAGACAAAAGAAATGGATCTCAGTGTGGTGCGTCTTATGTTTACAGCCTTTCTTCCTGACAGTAATGGTGGTTTCACACGGAGGCTTGATCCTGTTATATCGGATGCAATATATGACAGCAGTGAGTATATTTGGCATTAATTACTGTCTCAGTGTGAGGCACATCTCTGTACATACAAGAATGCTGGTATTGCTGTACTTAGATAGCCCAGAGATAATTGGCCCCCTGTCTGTCCACGTACATGTGCTGTCATTCTGTTCTTAATAGATGCTGATGTAAACCCTAAAGCGAGATCTTATTTGGCTGTTAGCATGTTTAATCCTGCCACCTGTGTTAAGAGAGTACTGTAAATTCTTTTTACAACGTGTTTGAATTTTGCAGACTTGCCTTCAGTTGCTTTCTATGGCAAATCCTTGTCACACAAGATGTGAGGAAAAATGTGTTTCAGTCTTTATTGAGACTTACACACTTTTCATTCTGCTGGGCATCTGCTTGTCCTTGTTTTGTGACACTAGCATAACCAGAAGTTTTCATCCATTTACTCTGGACCTGTTAGTATTTTTATACTTGTATCATGTCTCTCTATTTGTAGTTTTTCTCAGTGAATGTTTTCACTCTGTGCTTGTGCTTTTGGATAATACTTAGTGGTTTTACCTGAACCCTTTCTGCTGCTTGAGATTTCCTCGTAGCTGTGGGTCGCCATGTTCCTGGTAATTATTCTGTAATGAGTCAGAAAAAGTACCTTTTTTTTCTTGGTGCAACAGTCATGTGTACGTCATCACTTTCTAAGGACTAAGTTTAAATGAGAAGGTGTTAAATGCAGCGCTTCTAAAGCTGCTGTAGTCTGTTGCTTGCTGTCAGTGGGAGAACGTAGTGCCCATATGTCTGTTATTCTTGTAGCATACGTGTCCCTTGTTTTCTGAATGAGAAAATGGTCTTTTCATCTGCAAGCTGAAGTGATTTAACTAATAGTGTATTTAAGGAATATTGATCTTTGGTAATAACCATGGCAGATTCCATTTGTTATCTTAGTCTAAAGTGCGTGATGATAAAGAGTATTGCTAAAGCAAAGAGGAAGAGAAAGGCAAAGAAACAACAGAGACAGAATAGCAAAAGATGGAGGGTGACGTTACATGATCTGATGGTGACAGGACAGGGTGGAATGGTTTTGAACTAAAAGAGAGATCTATATTGGTTGCTAGGAAGAAATTGTTTACTCAGAGTGTGGTGAGGCACTATTACAAGTTGGCCAGAGAACTTGCGGATGCCTTGTCTCTGGAGGTTTTCAAGGCCAGGTTGGCTGGGGCACTGGGTAGCCTGATGTAGTGGGTGAATTCATGTTTGATTACAAAATATTTTTCTAGGGGCTGTTGTTTTTTCATTATGTCCTTTGTTGAACCATTCATGTCCCTTCCGCAGAGCAGACACGGCTTGTTGTAGCACAATCGTCTATGACAGTTGCTTTTAATTATCAGGTGATAGTTGTATCAAGGACCAGTAGGTAATCCATTGACGCCTCTGCTAAATCTTTAGAGGTGAGCTTTTTGATCAGTGTGATGTGTTGGTCTAGAACTGAAGTTGCTTTCCACTAAGCCAGAGAGCAGAGCAAGCTTTGCATGTTACATTAAACTAATGACATAAAGGTAACTGCTTTCAACACTGCCCTGTCACCAAGAAAATAGGAAGGAAAATATGTTCACTTACAATGCACTCCTCTTATGAAGTTACTGTTAATGCAGGATGCAGTTCACCACTCTATTATTTTAATGAGGTAATTTGCTGGAATGGCCAGAGCCTTATTTTATAGTTCGCAGTTTAGTCAAAGCCTAGAGGATACCTAGAAGATTTTCAGATGAAAAATCATTGATTCATTCTTTTAAAAAACGTAGACAAATTTATGTAGTCTGTACTGGGGACTTGTCTTTTATTGCGTTTCTGTATTTTTATTTTTTTTGTAATCTAAAATTGTTATGAAAATAATTGTTTTTTAAAATCTTTTCCTTTCGATAGAAGCACCCAATGCTTCCAACTTAAAAATTGTAAGAATGGACAGAACAGCAGGGTGTGTAACAGGAGGGGAAGAGATTTACCTTCTCTGTGACAAGGTTCAGAAAGGTAAGTGTCCTGAGTAATGTAAGATACCCCAGGATGTTCATCTGGCCGCTGTCTTGCTATTTTCCTGTTCTGATAGCGCAGCAGGATTTATAAGTGCTCTACTTTTCTGGAAATCAGGCCAGCAGGAAATAGTCTTGCAAACTAAATTGAACTTGTGTTGCCTCCTCAGAGACCAACTTTGTTCTTCTCTGATTTCTGCCCTTGCCTGTGTTCTGTTTTTCATGGGTAATGGGTTCTGAGTGATCTTTGATTCCATTAACACCTGCTCTGAATTATTCTAAAGTTTCTGATGATTATTAAGTTTCTGACTGTAAAGGGTAAGTATGAGTCTTCTGTATTAACCACCAATGGGAACTGAGTGTGTTCTGTGCTGTTGCTAGTAGCTTAATTCTGATGTATATATAGTAGAGATCACTTGGTTTCAACTGAATTTTCACAGGCTCTGCTCATGCTATGAGCGTATTAGGATAGGACTGTTGAGTATGGATTTGGTTGCTTTGTTATTTGATGGGAAAATAATGGTTTGCAGTATTTGGGTTTAACTAAAAAGAAAAAAAAAGGAGTGGGGTAAATCCTTAGCATTTTTCAGCTATGCCAGGGATTCCCTGGTGCAGACTGGATGCCGGGAGTGCCTAGTTCTCATTTGTCTGGAATGAGTCTCTGCCCTTGTTGTTAAAAGGTTGTCCTTTTCTACCTCTTTTCTTTGCCACGTTCTTCTACCACTTACACAGGAAAGAGGGAGTGCTTTGGGAGCTTTGAAAAAACATTTTCCTTCAGTAGTGTATTACCCTCTGCTTTCAGGACCTACATGAAACTTAACTCATGCACACAAAATAAATAAATAAAAGCCTGACTCAGTGGAAGCCCCGAGGTGGGGTTTCCCCTCAGCCTGAGTGGGGTTTCCCCTGACCTCATGGCTCTCAGAAACCTTTTCTCTGGAGGAACTTGAGCACACAGGACAGCAGGAGTGGAAGTGGTGGTTCACCATCTTGAGACTAGCAGCTGCTGGATCAGAGCAAGCAGTCATCAGTCACCCTAAAAGAAAACAGACTTTTCTGTAATTTCTTCTCATCAGAAGTGCTGGGGAAGGAATACGCTGCTGTCATATTTCCCAGCCTCTCCAAGATATATATAAATAAACCAAAAGAAGGCAAGGAAGGTTGTTCAGAGGAGCAGAAGCTGTGTTTGTGGTGTGGCTGTGCTGTGTCTGGAGGGTGAGGGATCACTGCCGACGTGCTGCTCACTCAAACTGCTGCCATCTCTGAGCTCTGAAGTGGCTCTTTGCCAGCAGCGAGCGGAACTTGGAACTGTGGCACTTCAGGTTTTGCAACAGTTTTTTGAACTGAAACTTCTGGAGGAGAGAGGGTGGTTTCTACATTCGCATTTCAAGTTCTTCCCTCCCTACTCACTTGTTTCAAATAAAGCTCCTCTGGAATGTTTTCTTGCTCCAGAATAGGAAGAGGTAGTGAACCTCACTCCTTACTGTGCAGTAAACAGCCAACAGTTTCAGTGAAGTTATTAGAATCAGGCTGATCTAAAATTGATGTAGAAAATGGCTTATCTGTGGTGTTTTCTTAACTTGGATAATGATGATTCATGTATTATTTACATACAATTATTACTCAGCTAAAAAATAACCATGTTAATTTTTAGCTGGAATAAACTTAACCAAAGGTTAAATAGATGCATGAACATCCCAAAGTTATTATTTCTTTGACTCTTTGCAGATGATATTCAAATACGTTTCTATGAAGAGGATGAGAATGGTGGTATGTGGGAGGGCTTTGGAGACTTTTCTCCTACAGATGTACATAGACAAGTAAGTAATGGAGCATTTGCCATTTATTAATGGTTTTCTGATCTCAGGAAAATAGGGTTATATTACAACTAGAAAATCAGGTGGAAACCTCCGTATCCCATACTAACCTCTTCAGTTTCTGTTACTTGTTAATTGCCTAATAATTCTGCAATCCTAGCCATTATTTTAAGACCTATGGTAAGAATACAGCATCAGGAAATAAGGAGAGATCGATCCCTTGCTTTAAAGATACATCAGTATAAGTTTGGATAGGACATGTAGAGAACTCTGTAAGCTTCCTATGCAGGCACTGAGAAAGCCTCAGAGCAGATGCTCATTGATGGAGAGAGAAGTAATGCAATAGTAATGTACGTGGCATGGTGATATGTGGCAGTTTTGCCTTTCACGGAAGGTTTTAGGACTCTAACTCAAAAGTACAGCTGAAGTTAAAGTGGAAATTTGTTGTAGCAGCCTTCTGCTCCCTGGTAATGAACCAGCTCCTACAAAAATAACACGGATATAACCAAAAAACATGGTCTGTGACAGATGTGCTTTATCTTTGCTTCCCTCACAGTTTGCTATTGTGTTCAAAACACCCAAGTATCGAGATGTCAATATCACAAAGCCAGCATCTGTATTTGTACAACTACGTCGGAAATCTGATCTAGAAACGAGTGAACCAAAGCCTTTTCTCTACTATCCAGAAATCAAAGGTAATTTATTAAGCCCATTTTATATACCAGAAACTGCAGGGTCCCTAGGAATACTTTTAATAAGATGGGGCAGGTAGGGTAAAGGACTTTCTGTAGTTATTTTTAGAAAACAGGATGTTTTTGCCTTTTTGCTTTGTGCAGAGCTAACATGAAAACTGTTGGCTCTGTAACAGGTTTGGCTTTTTTTTTGGTGGATTGTTAAGCAGTAAATCTGTGTTTTCCTACCGAGTTTCCTATATGCACACATACCTCTCCATGCAGTAGGTGGCACTCTTCCTCTGAGTTTCTGCAGAATGATATCTGAGGACATTTTATGGTCAGCACTTTCAGATAAAACTTAAACTGAAGACTGGTACCTGGTGAAAAAAGTACTTATTTTGCAGTTCTCATCTTTCATCGTCACACCTAGCAATTTCTATGGTGGTCTTGAATTTTCTTTCCCATCGCTCCTACTAGTTAAATAAGGTAAGGCACTTGATGTGACAGTAGGCAAAGTACTGTTTCAACCTCTTATGGTAAAGTGTTAGTTAAATGGTTGAAATAGAACGGTTGGCATCAGGCCCACTTCTTGAGTTGTCAGGTTGTCAGCAGATAGTGAAGTTAGTGCTAGTGAAGTCTAACTAGCAAGTCTGTACCATTTAAAGCCTTCTGTGTTTCAGCTGAGTTTGATGTGAATGTCGTGTTTTTAAATACTAATGTTAAAGACAATGAAGAAACTTGAGGTCCAAGTTGGAACTAGTGTTTTCTTGCACCGAGACAGCAGTCTTTTGCTGAACAGTTAACCTGCCTTCAGTTTATGCTGTGAAACCCTCATCTTGCAAGTATGCAGTGCCTAACATGGACTGGAGTGAAATAAATAATCTGAAATATCAGTGCATCAGTGCTAATGGACTAAGGACAACTGAGGAGACGGGAGGGGGGTTATTGTACAAGTGAATCTGTTTTACACTTCAAAAGAACAGAAAGCATTCTTTTTCAGGAACTTGCAGAGTTACTAGAGCATTTTGTGTCACTAATGATTAAGGAATCTCTTACCCAAGTCTTACAGAAAAAAAAGTGTACAACTGCAGAGCAAAACTGCCAGCTGAGAAGCAAACTTCTTTGAGACTCTTAAAAAGGAGTAAAGTTTATTCAACATTGTGTGCATTTTTGAATGCCCTACATAACCTAATCATAAAATTACCATTTGGGGACTATTTTTCCCTGTTACAAGTGTTCATATGAGCTTAGATGTGTATGTGGATTTTTTTGTTTTTCTGACTAGATTGCTATCTAGCACTTTCTCTCTTTATCAGTGTTTATTTATGAGTATGCCTGGGACGTGCTTACATACTTCTAGATCATGTACACGAGGAAATAATGCATTTTTGCTTTTCAGTATCCTATTCCATGCATTCAGCTATCCAGTTCAATGCACTGACTGATGTGACTGTGCATGTAATTTCTTTTTGTCCTACATCTGCAGAAAACTACTTGATCATTCATTGAAGATCGTCACATTTGTTCTTTTCTCAAGTTTTTTTTATCAGATTGCAACCTTTGTAATGTTTGTATTCTTCTGGCAGATCTTCTTGTCATGACCTTTTCACTTTCCCCAGTTCCTGGGATATTTCTTGTAAGAAGTTTTCTACAGTGAGGGTAATGAGGCGCTGGAACGGGTTGCCCAGAGATGTGGTGGAAGCCCTGCCCTGGAGACATTCAAGACCAGGCTGGACCAGGCTCTAAGCAATCTGACTTAGCTGTGCATGTCCCTGTTCATTGCAGTGGATGACCTTTAAAGGTCCCTTCCAATTTTAAGGATTCTGTGATTCTAAATCTTTGTGTTTTGCTGTCCTGAGCAGGATAAGAGTATTTTACTTAGATGATAAAATAATGAGTCTTCTTGTCAGCTGCTGCCCGACATGGTCTGACAGTATTAGATCCTGTCTGAAAATAAGCTCTTTATTCTGTTGTCCTTTCTATTAATTTAAGCAAATTTTCAAGCAATGTTGTTTTAAACACTTCTCACCATCCTTACACTTTGACAGAAGTTTGAAGAGTTCTGCTGATGCTGTGTGCTCTTGGGGGTCAGTGCCTTGTGATTTTGCTGACTCTTTGAGAAGGGTCTATTTCTGAAGTAGATTTGCTTAGGAGAGAAATCTGTGCTTATATTCTCTAAAGGAGGATGTTCTTGAACAAGTATTCAGTTCAAGGCACTTGTTCTGATTTATGACTCAGATTAAACATTGAAGAATTTTGGCACCACTGATTTCCAGAGTTCTATGTACATGAGCTGCTTTTGATGGAAGCTCTGAGCCTCTTTCAGCATTTCTGCATGGGGTCCCTTCCTGTCCAAGCATGAGACATCTGACACAAGGGATCGTGTGAGCCCAAGAAATGCTGTCAGCAGACTGGGACTTGGCACTAACTTTTTTCTCACAGGAATTCTCACTGCTCCATTATGTACAAAACTGGTTTTTTTGGAGCTAGAAATGGGTTTACTCTGTACAGCGCTCCTTGTTTTCCCTTACCAACCAGTGTACTTCAGTAATAATTTCTATACGCTCATCTTTTTCTGGGTGTGGGCTCTAGTAAGAGTGACTCCTTATTCTGTCTGTTCCTTCTCACCTGACACGCAGATAAAGAAGAAGTGCAGAGGAAGCGGCAGAAGCTCATGCCAAACTTCTCCGATGGCTACGGTGGAGGCAGCGGCGCAGGAGGCAGTGGCATGTTTGGAGGAGGAGGCGGCGGTGCTGGCTCTGGTAGGACGGTGGCTCTGGGGAAAGAGGTTCTGATCTCAGTGCCTGTGGCACAGATAATTGTTCTGATGATGATACAAGGAATTCCACTCATTCCACCCTGGCCTTATACTGCTGTTACTCCTTTCAGTCAAGCTGCTCCTTGTTTTCTAAATGCTTTGTCAGCTACTCTTCCATCCTGCTTGGTTATGTGGCTCCTGGTGATTTAGGTTTTTTTTCTTCTTTGAAGCTTTAAATCACAGAAAACACTACTTTCTAGTTGGAGTCTGGGTTAGGGGTCCATCATACCTTAGCTTTGTTACTGCCTAGGGCTTCAAAGGCACTGAAATTCAGGAGGCAGCTAACTACTGTCTTACATGCCTAAAATTAAACAAATTCATAGTCATTACTGGAACCACGGGTGGAATTTAGCTAATTAACTCTGGTAGCACTAAGAATCATTAAAACTTTGAGATACTCGTTACTAAATTGCATGCTGTGCTCTGTCTGTTGAACCCAGAGCATATCTGAGATGCAGGATCGTCAGAGCAGAGCTTTGTTTTCTTGCAGCAGAGCATTAATGATGTAGATCAGCAAATGTCATCTGAGCCACAATACCTTTGTAGCACTTCTTTGAAGGAGGGGGAAAAGCAGCCATTGTCAAATTGTGACATGCATTGCTACCAACACTTCAACAATATAACAACTGAGTACAAATCTTCTGTAACCACAGTGATTCAAATCATAATGCAGCGTAGTGGTGACATCACATGTGAACGCGTGTCCTGGGAACAGAGAACTGTGTGTTTTTGAAGGGACGGGGCAGAGCGCACCCTCAGTCTGGAGAACTTACTTTAAAAGGATAGAATCAAACTGAAGCTGTGACAAAGGAAGTGGAGGTTGGATATTAGGAAAGGGTTCTTCGCAGAAAGGGTGGTCAGGCAGCAGAATGGGCTCCCCAAGGAAGTGGTCATGGCAATGAACTTGACAGAGTTGAAGATGCATTTGGACAGGGCTCTTGGACATATGGTCTGATTTTTGTGTGGTCCTTTGTGGAGCCTGGAGTTGGACACTTATTGGGTCCCTTCCAACTCAAGATACTCTATGATTCTATGAAGCACAAAATATGTAGAAAATAATATTTCTGTTCTTTAGTCTCAGTGTTCTTCAAGATGGTGTTTTCATTGCTGTAGGGTATCATTCTATTAATTCTTCATCTTTTTTCTACCTGTAGGGTTCAGTTATCCTTCCTACGGTTACTCTGCTTTTGGAGGAATGCATTTCCACCCTGGCACAACAAAGTCCAATGCTGGAATGAAACACGGTAACCCTGAAGATGTAATTTTTGCTGCAGTTGAACTGAGTTTGGCTATCTTCTACAATATGAACAGATGTTATGCAGATTTAACTGAGTGTGCTGTGTGGGGAGAGCTTTTCCCCTAAAGCCAGTCCCTTTCCTGGAACCTCCAGTGACTCAGAGGTTGACGTATATTACATTGCTCTGCTTCTTTTCAGTTACCTCAAAGTCCAGCTTAAATCTTCTTTTTAACCACTAACTTCTGTGAAGCAGTCACCAAATTGCCACAGTGTGCTTGATACATTCAGTGCATGTTTGGAGCAACAGCCCTTTTGCTGTTGGAAGTGATGATCCAAGGACTCAAGCAGAGAAAAGGCATCTTCTTTTGTTGCCGCAGTCTGGTACTACACGGTAGTCAAAAGAAGTAATACAAGAGTTTATGGAAAGATTTGAGTAATAATAATGATGGTCCTCTCTTCCTCAAACAGTCAAATAATTTCCAATCTGCTTGTTGAATATTCTGTAGTTATTTACAAAGTCACAGGGATGAATTTGCTGTCAGGGAAAACAAATCTGATTAATTTCAGTAGATTTCCTAGGAGTGCTTCAGACTCAGATTGATGTTCTTTGGAAGGAGGGTTTATCTGTTTTAGATATGCAAAAGTTTGTCTTTAAAACAGAGGCTGATGAAAACATAATCACTGCAGAGTGTGTTATGTTGCTTCATCTGTCCCTGTGAGTTGGTATCTGTAAGTGTTATGATTTATGAGTGTTTAAAAATAACCCCTATGCCAAAGGAAATTTTTATATTGAGTTCTTTTAGGGTTTATTTATTGCTGGTTGAGCTTTATCACTTTCATAAAAAAAAAAAAAGTGGGAGTATTGAACACTAATGGTATTTATTTCTGTTTGAAGAACTGTCAAATAGCACAGTTGAAAAAGATGAAGAGAGCTCTGATAAACAAAGTGGCAAATGGGACACGAAACACGATGTGAAAGTGGAAAGTGTGGAGAAGAATGAATGCAGAACCTCTGGTCATAATGAGGAGAAAGAGGATGCTTCTTTGTGCTGTAAAGATGAAGGAAACAAAGCAAAGTGTGGCTGTCAGGGTAAGTAAAAAATAGGTAGATCGTATTTACGGGAGAGGGCAAAGCTGGTGTTAAGTCTGGGAAACTCCATAATAACTCCATAAATGTCTGCTTATGGTTTTGAAAACATGATAATTTTTCTTTGAGGAAGCAAGAGAAGTTCAGCTCTCTAGAATCTGAGATCCTTCTCCATACATAGATTGGTAGATGGATAATCCTACACCTTCATACTGCCACTGGGCAACTGGTTCTGCAAGGAGGTGAGATGGCTGAGCCTGCTTGGCACATTTAATGCTGCTTCATAACAAACCTGTATGAGGTTCACTGAAAGCAGTGACCATACACAGAATACAACTCATGTATACAGTTCAGTACCTTTTGATTTTTTGGTAGGCTTTAATGGATAAAGAAGGTCTGTGAGATTGTTGTGCAGTCCTTCCCTACAGTTCTGCTGTAAAATTGCATGCAAAGTAACCTTAAAGGTTTGAATATAAAATGTAAACCCTTTCTGTTTCCATGCAGCAAATACACAGGAAAATGACATTTTTTGGGTAGCAAAACCTTTTGTGCAACCAACCAGTGAACAAAAGGGGAGGAAGACAGACGTAGTCAGTAGGAGTGGTTCAGCAGTACAGTTATAAAGTACACAAAACAAATTGCCCTCTCTCAAGCAGCAAGATTTTCTTGGCCTGGGGAAGTGCTGTAGTTGTGGGGTTTTTTTTAATGTGAATAACTGCTCTTTTAAAGGATTTGAGTAACCATCATCGTTTAATCTCATCAGATTAAAAAATCAACAATCGGAGTAGAGAGACATGTTTCAAGCACAGAGGAAAAAAATACCCAGAGAGGTCCAGTGTTCCAAATTTTTTGGATTTTTATGTTGTATGAGTAAAGACAGAATGGCTTAACCCTTTTTATGTTGGATATATATCCTGAATACAACATCTATTGAATCCAATTATTTAGTGTTAAGAAGTAAATAACAAGTAAAAATGCATCAGCCTATGCATGTAGTCTGGGAACCACAGTGATCTAGAAACTTCATGGATAGCCTTTGGCATATAGAAATTCTTTATCTTATACCACCTATTTCACCTGTTTGCTATTAGTGATTTCTAACCTTTTATAGGAACTTAAATTTGCACAGAATACAGGCTGGTTTCAGGTGATACTGCTTCTCAGAATGACGACTGTGGTTTCCAAGTTTATCTGTTTCATTTTTGCTAGTTTCTGCCGATACAGAACCACAAAGTGTTGGCAGAGCAGCTAGTGACCTCCTTCGGTTACGAGTACCCCTGTAAAGCTGAAGAGAGTGCCTCGTTCAGGCTGGGAAGGGGCACACAGCTCTGCATTTATGCCATATTTTCTGTGTGAGTTTCTGTACAATATTTGATAGAATCATAGAATGGCCTGGGTTGAAAAGAACCGCAGTGATCATCTCATTTCAACTCCCTGCTATGTGCGGGGTCAACAGGCACCAGACCAGGCTGCCCAGAGCCACGTCCAGCCTGGCCTTGAATGCCTCCAGGGATGGGGCATCCACAACCTCCTTGGGCAACCTGTTCCAGTGTGTCAGCACCCTCTGTGTGAAAAACTTCCTCCTAATATCTAATCTAAACCTCCCCTGTCTCAGTTTAAGACCATTCCCCCTTGTCCTGTCACTATTCACCCTTGTAAAAAGCCGTTCCCCCTCATGTTCATATGCTCCCTGCAAGTATTGGAAAGCCATGATGAGGTCTCCCTGGAGCCTTCTCTAAGCTAAGCAAGCCCAGTTCCCTCAACTTTTCTTAGGTCTCTTAGGCTTATTGTGCCTCTGTTTGCTCCAGTCTAAATCAGTCAGAACCATGTGGGATGTTCTTTTAAGTGTTCTGTGGACAGGAGGCTTTGCCTGTCTCTTGTATCTGAGCAGTTTCAAGTTTCTGCTTCTTTTGTTTCACTGCACACAAGTGCACATTAATGAATTATCAGTGCCACTCAAACCACAGGTAGCTTCCAGAGATGGGCTGTTCTCAGGATTCCTGCTGCCCAAGTGCTCAGCGTGTGCCTTGTTTTCCTTCCAAAAGACTCATTCCCTCTGTCCTTTCCTCTCAGGTGTAATTAACAACCCGTGTCAGTGAATCATTAAGTAATGAATGTGTGGTGATTTGCACTTCTTATTTCTGTGGCCAAAAGGTGCTGCTACAGGGAAGGCAGTTGAGCTAATAAAGACAAAAAATTGTGTTGCAGATGGTCTGTTCCTGGAGAAGGCTATGCAGCTCGCCAGGCGTCATTGCAACGCTCTCTTTGATTATGCTGTAACTGGAGATGTGAGGATGCTGCTAGCTGTTCAGCGCCACCTCACTGCTGTCCAGGATGACAATGGAGACAAGTAAGTCAGTGCTGGCAAGGACTCAGTGACGGGAGAGTGAAGTCTTTGGCAGCAGAGCGTAGTTAGCATTCCATCTGCTGTGGGTGCTGATCGGGGACTGCAGCACCACTCGAATCAAATAAACATTGTTCTCCTTTATGCTGCTTGGGAGAGGGATGGTTGTGATTTTTTGCTGCTCACACCAAGTTGGTTGCTGCAGTGCCTCTCAGAAATAATGTGTGAGGGTGTGCGGAGGATGCTGTGAGTTTGCATTTTCTTACTTCAGATCAGTGCTGAGTGTGAACTGCTGCATTTGTCGTGAAACACAGTTGATGGAGATCACCAGCTTTGTGCTGCAGGAGAGTGCCCTGCTTTTGATGCTATGCAAGTCCCTAACTCTTCATTGGGAATTTTAAGTTGTGGATGCTCTGGGAGAAGTAGAAATAATAGCTCGAGGGTCTTTGCTGCTTTTTCTCCTACTGTTACCGAAGGACACTGTGCAGATTCTGTGGGACTCACAGTGAGGAACAGATTATTAGTAGTTATTTAAAACCAAACTTGGTGGAAGTGATTCTGAACACATGCAAAGGTAATCTCTCTTGAATAAACAAGTGATATTATCACATTGTCGCTTTTTAGCTGGTAGGCTTTTGGCAGGCTCTGCACAATCAATTTTGTTTCCTTAATTGCAGTCTTTTGTGCAGTACATGCCAGGTAAACCTTAAGGTCCCTAACCAGATGGAAAATTACAAGACTGAAGCAGGCCTTAGAATACTGATAAGCTAAATACTCAAAATCACTGAGAACTGCTTACTTTGCTCTCCAGCTGGCAATTTGATGAAGCTTTGAGGTAAACAGGTATATGGATGATGTAGGGGCTAGCAATAAAATCTGCTGGCACTTTGGGCAATACAACTTCTGTGTGTATTTGTTGGTTTTTTTGTTGTTTTTTTTTAATGTTAAAAAAAATGATACTAATAATCCCCAGAAGATTGTGAGAGTATTAATCTCAGCCCCAGTAAGAGCGACCTGCATTTAAACATCAACACGGCGTTCCCCAGATTTGGACTTGAAGGGTTTTTCAACGAGTCAAAGTAGTTTAATCATTATGACAGTTATTTTTCCTGGATCAAGAAGTACCTGCAAGTATGTGAGTCTCAAGTTCATGTTGCTTTTCTCCTGGGAAGGAATTAGTCTGTGAGCATGTAATGCATATAAATTGCTCTGCAGCTATTGAACAAAACAAAGGTTTGGGGGCTGTCTGCCAGCTCTCTAACAGGAGCTGTTTAAGAAAAAAACAAAATTCCAAAATTTATAAATCAGTTCTCTGTAACTTTCACTTTAATCATTACAAACACATGGAAAAGACTATAAATTTTTTTGCTGAAGCCATGACAGAAGTATTACCAACAACAGTTTTGTACATCTTTCATGAAAATAGTCTGTAGGGAATGAAAATACCTTTGTTGAGATCCTGTGTTTTGTGTAATGGCTTTGATACCAAGTATGTTAATCTGTGATCAGCCTGCACTTACAGCAGTGCTCACTGTTACTGCATTCATAGCACAGATCTCATGAAGTCACATTAAAGCACTTTGCCTCCACAAGGTAAAATTGAAATATTTACCACAGGAAAGAGAACTGAAGGCAGTAGAAGAGCAAATCTGTGAGATTTGGAAATAAAATGTCAGCAGGAGAGATCATAGAGAGTAGCTCCTGGGGAGCAGAGGAACTCTTCTTTTATGGCAGCAGTGGGACTGTTGGAACAGCACAGAAGAACTGAGGGAGGAAGAGTGCCACAGTGCTGTCTATGGCAGTATCCAGAGACAATAAAACAGCCTCTCAGGATGAGTTTGTTTTAGAAGTCTTGGTTGTTTTTTTCCTTTTTTAACATATCTCGGGGATTCGGAGTGCTTGTTCTGAACTGAAAGAGGAGACTCTATGCCACAAATGGCAAGGGACTTCTTTATTTTTCTGATAGAAGTGTAGATGTGAGTGCATTCAGGTATTCCTGTAGCAGATTCTTTAACAAGCACATTGTGTGACCTGTGCTGATGCATGTCCTCAGCAAAAGGCTTAAGAGAATCTAGAAGTTGGCCAGGGAGAGCTTGCTAAGGTGTGATTCCAAACGGGGCACAGCTTTGAAATGACATCTCAAAGAAACAAGACAAATCAGATGAATGATTATTGTCACAACCTGCTTTTTTCCTGGTGTTTTTTTGGCAAGTACAGCCACTCAGGCTGGCGGAGTGAAGGAAGTATCTCTGGAGCGGAGCACAGCAAAGGCTGCAGCAGAAACTCAGCAGAAGTGGTGCTTTGCTTTGCAGAGTCGCTCATGTCCTTCAGCACATTTTTGCTTCAGCAAGAAAGACACCTTTGGCCACTGCTGCAAATCCTGGGGGTGTTGGTCACTGACCTGAGCCCTGAGTCATTTTTCTGTTTGAAAATGAAAACAGGACAAACCTACAGAATGGGGAGGGGGGAACCCCTGAGGGAAAATCTGCCTGGGTGGCAGAGGGCTGTGGAAATTCTGGAGGAAGGCTTTGACAGGAAGAGATATCTGTGCCTTAATTATTCAGCACACTGGAAAAAAAAATAAAATAAAATAATAATTAAAAAAAAAAAAAAAAAAACAGCCAGTGAAGAATGTGGCTATTTCAGACAAGTTCTGAGACTTTTCTTTTGTGATGCAAAGTTTTTATTTGTAGGGCTAGTAGTTAAGTCATACTCAGGACCAGCAAAATTCATTCTGATTCTTCTTTTGTGATTGAAGCGGTAACACAGCTTTCTTCTAACTCAGTTTTTTTTATGTTAGCATTTATTTTAGGTGTTGACAAAGACTTCTAATAGTCAGCTGTACAGCCAAGTCTTAGAATTTGTATCATACGTTTGAGAATACAGTGACAATGCTAATCTGTTATTTTGTTTCAGTGTCCTTCATTTGTCAATTATCCACCTTCATAGAGAACTGGTTAAAAACCTGTTGCAAGTGATGCCGGACATGAATTATAGCAGCATTATCAACATGAGAAATGACCTTTATCAGGTATGCTGTTGTGGTGGTGTAACTGATGGAGATCATTCAGCCAGCTGTAACTGTTCTCCTTACTGTCTTATTTTCCTTCTGTTCATCAGAATGAGCCCAGATCACATAGTAAGGCAAACTGGTTTGCAGTTTCATGCACTGAGGAACACAGTGACACGCTGTAAGGAGGTGGAAGAACAAGGGCATGTTTTCCTTCTATTATTTCCTAACTGTCTTGATGTTAAGAGAAACATCTCCATTTGTTTATTATAGAACAGCCCCAAAATACCGAATTCTTCAGTTTATATTTTCATTATTTGGCTCCTCTGTTATTAAATTAGAGATCTGGATTAGTGTGCCAACTCCGGGCTCTTTCAAATGTTTTAATGCAGGATAATTCAGGATCATGAGTGAGTTGCTGAGGAAGCTTGTAACAAACTATGTCTTTCTGTAGCCTAGGTCTTCATGCCCGTTGTATGAGCACCAGAGTTTTTCTTTCATTTTTCAGTTCACAGTGTACCACAAAACAAAAAACAAAAAACATGTCTTTTACCCAGTAGGGAAGTAACTGTTAGCAGCCCAGCACAATTCTCTCCTCAACTTATCTGTAACACAGTTTGAGGTTTTTCTGCTGCAACTTAGATGGGCTTTAAAAAGAGCTATGGAAACTTGCCAGTAGAAGCAGCTCTCTTCAACCATGCATGCCATTCCGTTGTCACAAAGGTACCCAGCTGGACATCACACACAGCACTTCTGAGACTTGTGCCATTTCTTTCTGTTCAGCTCCACGCTATAAATGATACAGCCAAGACTTCGTTCTGTGCAGATAATCTCAGAGGCTTTATTGTGACTTCTCTGTTCTCCTTCATGTTTCATTTTGTCCTCGCATAAAGGAAGTTTGAAATGTGAAAGGTGATGAAAGCAAAAAGATTCTGAACTGAATTTTGCATGCCCTCTGTTTAACAGAAATAGGAAGCAAAGCTGTGCTCCATAGAAGAAATAAATCTCTAACTACCAGAACTTCTCCAGCTGCTCTACCTTTCACTTAAGCCTTAAGCCAGCGATGGGAGGGAAATGCAGGTTTAGTCTAAGGTTTCCCTTTGTGCAGATACTCTGAAAGAATCTCATGCTTTGCCATATCAATTCAAGTAATTGCAAATACAATGGTAATTCCACTGACAAACACAAGCTTGTTTTACAGATTATTAAAGAAATAGGTATATAGATTATTAAAGAAATTAGTTCCTTTTTTTACAGTAAGCTGTAAATATAAAAGTAATGATATGGAGATGGAATCTTCTCCATTTTTCAGATTACTTTAGTTTAGGAATACAATTTCCTAAACCACTGCAGTGCCTCACTGTTAAATACATACTTTGTGATCCATGAAACTTGTTATTGGCAAGGATGCAGTATACAGTTAACATCTGGAAAAATTTGCAATCTCAGCCTGAGAGCCTCAGTGCTACAGGTGTCTTTGTGCAAAAATATTGTGTAATCTGAACTTTGGCAAACAGCAAGTTTTTCTGCTTTTTTGTATGTAGTTGTTTTGAAGAATAAGGAAATCCTAAACCTGTGGCTGGGAACTTGCTTTTTAGGAGCAAAATTAGAGTATGATTCAGTTGCAGAGGCAGAGCTGAACAGGCTCTAGAAAGTGTGTGTGCTCCTTCTGTGGCAGGAGCTTGGCAGGGTTAGTGCACCTGGGAGTACAGGGGATTCTCTCATTTTCCAAGACCTTTGCACTACAAACAGCCAGGTTAGTCCCCCAGTCCACAAGGTAGGCAATGTCTTCCTTCCTCCTCAGGTCTGACTGCTGACACCAGTGAGGTGGCTTTTATTTCCAGTAAGTAGAAAACCCGATCTCTATTATATAGCAGAAGAAAATGTACTCGTACACAAGTTTTTCACCTGTGCCAGCGTTAAAGCAGAGCAGCACCTCACAGTAGGTGCTTTCATTGGCTTAGCAGATTTCTGTAAAGGGGTGTTGTTGCCCCTCATCTTCTCATGGCTCACTTCTGTTGCTTCCAGACCCCCTTGCACCTGGCAGTAATCACAAAGCAGGCAGAGGTGGTTGAAGACTTGCTGAAGGCTGGAGCAAATGTCAACCTTCTGGATCGCCACGGTAATTCTGTCTTACATTTAGCTGCTGCTGAAGGAGATGACAAGATTCTGAGTCTGCTCCTCAAGCATCAGAAGGCATCTTCAATGATTGACCTTTTCAATGGCGAAGGTATGGAACGATAGTGCCTGTACTTTACACTTACTTGCCTTCTAGACAAGCACCCCACCATTTCTGACAACCCAGTCTTTCTAGGCGGATACAGACCTTGGAAGTTGCATCTTTCCATGGTTTGCACATTGTAGCCTTGGCTTTTATACACCTGCAGTCAGATAAAAGAACATACATGTGTAGGTTTTGTGGTTATACAGAACGTACAGATTGGTAATGTCCATATTACACACTATGGATTTGAACTTTTTGTTCTTTAGCATCACAAAAATTCAGGAACCGTGTTCCTCTTGGGATGCCTTACAGAACCACTGTTTAGAAGAAATTCCAAGTGAAAATATTTCCTCTTCTCCAGTGGATAAAGTTCCCTCAAAAGTCATTTCTGGACCAGTGTCAAGTATCACATCTGGAACACTGGGACCACAGAGTTACCAAAGCTTATAAAATACCCACAGAGACCCTACTCTCCCACTTCTCAATGGCTCAGGTCATTTGAATTCAGTACTCTTGCACTAGATGTAGATAGTAAAATACCTGGCCTAAAAATGTCACTGTGCGATTTAAAAAACTGTGTTAAGTTTGTCAGAGAGAGTTGATCCTTCGTATTCTTTATAAGTAGAAAGCTTTATGATTCTCTTTTTGAGCAATTAATGTTGAGGTGACAGAGCTGCCTGACCTTTAAGGAGCATAATTCTCCAGGATGTTTCTAGAACATTCTAGGGTGATTCATTTTTCTTCCTTTCTGTTCCTCTGTGCAATTCGCTGATTTTTTCATGCATGGTTTTGAGTCACAATAATACAAGTAGTTCCAATTTATGCACGAAGAACATTTCAATTATCACCATTTTTGGTGCACAGACAGGCAAAGGTCACTCTTGCTCAGATAACTACAGTAACTCTCAGTCATTTTACAGCCTCTCAGAGATGCAGCTGCTTAAGAAGTCACTGCTGTGACATTTCTGTGTTTTTCAAATGTTAATGTACACAAATGGCTTTTGTGTAGGTCTCAGTGCAGTTCACATGGTGGTGATGGCCAATAGCTTGTCCTGTCTGAAACTACTGATTGCTGCTGGAGTTAACGTCAATGCTCAGGAACAAAAATCTGGACGAACTGCATTGCATTTAGCTGTTGAACAAGAGAACATCCCCTTGGCAGGCTGCCTTTTGCTTGAGGTGAGGGCAGAATTTCTTTTTCCTCGGTCTTCCCAGAGATGTATTTTCAAGACTTTTAAAATAAGTCAGTCTGCAGTGGAAATGAAGTGGTGTTTCTCTTCATCGGCTTGGTTATTTTAACTGGTATAATGGGAAATTTTTCACTGATGTTATTTATTTGCTATTAGTTATTCAGCACTGCTGATGAACCTTTTTTTAAGCTGAGAAATTTGGTTTGTGACCCTGACCTGACTGCCTGTGCCATGCTTAATTTGCACTGAGCATCCCAGCAGCCAATGAAACTACTCACGAACAAGTTGCTGATCTGGTGTGGTGGAATGCGTATGCAGATGTGCAGAGAGATAGCTGTGTGTATCTGTAAATATTTGTCTCATCTCTCACACCTTGATCTTAGCACACTTAATTGCACACACCCACAGCTACCTGCAGTAGCTCCCCTGGTATGGGGTACAGATGCGCTAGCGGCCCATCTGCTCTGCTGAAGGGCAGCAGGAAGGCAGCTTGCAGTGCACAGCAGATGCTGAGGGTAATCTGATAATAGAACTATTATCTGATTAGTATTATGGGATGCAAAGTGGCTTTTGAGTTTTATCTACCTGGCCTATTTGGGTTCAGACAGCATGCCTCCTGCTGTAGTACTGCAGTGCGCAACCACTGTCTGTTCTTGTGTGCAATAGCTGTAATCACCTTCCGATTCATTCTTTTCAGACAACGGCTGGAATTTTTGCACAGACAGGCATGGAATGGTGCTGCTTGCAGAATAACAAGGTTTATGCAGACAAGTCTCCATGTAGCAGTACTGTATGCATGAATAGCATTTTCCTTCTTCTCTTTTAATACTTAGGGTGATGCAGATGTGGACAGCACTACCTACGATGGCACAACACCTCTTCACATAGCAGCTGGAAGGGGCTTTACAAAACTGGCAGCAGTTCTCAAAGCAGCAGGTATTCAGTCAAATATTTGTTGCAGTGTTCTCTTTAACTGTGCCAATTCACGTTAGGGGGCTGCACTTAGGAGTTAGTGAACTTCTTAATGAGGAGAAGATACCAGATGTTAAAAGGCTTGTTTCTGCTCGGGAAAGTCCTAGTTTCAGGGGGTCTTTAGCACCATCTAGTGGCTAAAAAAAGCAAAGCAAAACTGTCTAAGTAAAAATAGTTCCCAAGCATTCTTGGAAGTTTTGGGGTATGTGTAGATATTTTTTTAATACCTGCAGCAGACAAAAAACCCAGTTTTATGGTTGGAATAAGGGTCGGACTGCTTTTAAAGGCAAAGAAACTGGGAACACTTCTCCCTAGTTTTGTATCATTACAGTAAAGTTAGTTTTGGTTTTGTACTGGAATGTTTTTTTCAGTTGCATTTAAACCTTCGATACCTGAATTTTCTCCTTAGAAATCCAAGCCTCCCACAGCTCTGGCTGTGTGATTGCTCTTTTAGTAACATTTGTGCTTTCTCTGACACTACAAAAGGGAAGCCCTGCACCTGTATTTTAAGTTTTGAATTGCAAACCTTCTAATTTAGCTATTTTAACTATGCTTTTCAATAACACAATGTAAAACAGCTTAAAAGCCTTTCCTTAGAAATTTCTTGCCCACTTGTTTTCCAGGTGCAGATCCTCACATTGAGAACTTTGAGCCACTCTTTGATGTAGAAGAAGATGTGAAAGATGATGATGATGAAGGAATTGTACCTGGAACAACACCACTGGATATGGCAGCCAACTGGGAGGTACGTGGTCTGTTGTCTTTTAGTATTAAAAAAAAAAAAAGAGGATAGTTCAGTTTTGTCAGCCAATTTGCTTCATTTCATCTAGTTATATAAATAGTGACAGAGTTCTGTAGCACCTCACTGACATAAAAAACAAACTTACTGAGCCATAAGAAACGGTGAAGTAGGATTGGAAGCTCCTCTTAGCCTACTTCTGTTGAGCGGGATTCAACAAGCATTTCTTCAAAGTAGCTGCACTGGGTTGTCAATATGGAAAAGAATGCAGCAGATTGAGCAGCATGTGCTTGCAGGTGCACGTTCAGGGTCTGCGAGCCCAGGGTGAGACACTGTAATACGTTTCTCTGCTGCACGGTCTTTAGAACTGCAGACTGGGTGGTATGTAGTGAAAATAGACTTTTGTGTCTTACCTAAACATTGGTTAGATTACATGGTTCAAGCTCCAGTATCCAAGTACATGCAGCTAGCATGATGTGAGCATATAAGTAGCCAGCATTCTGATCATATGGAGCGAGGGTGGGGAGTGGTACCGAGAAGATGAAAATGGAGCCCAGGCTTTGTTTCAAATTACTAGTTGTAGATAGCTGCTAACTCCTCACTTATCTACTGCTACAGCCCCTTGTTTACTGCACAGGCTGCTTCTGTATCCTGACAATAATTGCCAGACGACAGAGCTTAAGGGCAAGGGAGATGAACTTACAGATTTATCCCTCAAGGTATAAATGATTTATAAAAAAAAAAAAAAAAAAAAGGGGGCCATTTACAATACTGCATAAACAATACTACTGAAACTTGTCCAAATAATGGACAAACAACCAGGTTTTGCTAAATAATAAATTGAATGTATTCTTTTAGGTATATGACATATTAAATGGCAAACCCTACGTGGCAGCAGCAGCAGTTTCAGAGGACTTAATGACACAAGGTAACATCTGTAAAGAGGACCTGGCCTCCCCTTGGTAATGAACAGCTGAGTACACAAAGCATGCTTGGAGAATAACAAAACAAGCAGAGGCTCGTAAGGGAGGTGGGGAGGGAGAAGAGGTACTCACTACCACTGCAGTCTTTGAATGAGCAAGATTCTGTTAAGAAGCACGGCACGAGGACCCAAGTTCGTACGTTTTCAATATTACAGCAGTATATTAGTAAATAGCAGTGGATGCTACAATAAGTAATTTTTAATTTGGCTTTGCATCTGCTTAGAAATGAACTGGTGTGCGACTCATGTAAATTACAGATGTATTTTTCTGTTCCCCAGGCCCTCTGAAAGAGCTGAATGAAAGCTCCAAGCAGCAGCTTTACAAGCTATTGGAAACACCTGATTCAAGCAAGAACTGGTCTACTCTAGCAGAAAAGTTGGGTCTTGGCATTCTTAATAATGCCTTCAGGTTGAGCCCTTCACCTTCGAAAACTCTGCTAGATAACTATAAGGTAATGTGTCTGTAACAAGTTATAAAGAACATGCAGATGTGCAGTGAATGTTGTCCTGCACAGTGAGATACTGCAGCCCTTTGGTTTTGGCTAGCCAGGATGAAGCTGTGAGCATCTGCTGTCTTCTCTTTTAGATTTCTGGAGGTACAGTTCAAGAGCTGATTGCTGCTTTGAGACAGATGGATCACACGGAAGCTATTGAAGTAATTGAGAAAGCACTATCTAGTTCACAAAGTCAGCCTCACCAGGAGGACAACACAATAGAAGCTTTTCCTATATCATCACCAGCCAATTTTGCAAAGGGAGAGACAGGTAAAATTAACATTTCTTAGTTCTTCCTCCTTGCTTTGGAACGCTAATAGACAGCAGAGTTTCTTACCCATTATGTCTGAGATCCTTACCTGTTTCTGTTTGTGTACCATGCAGGGCTTTCTCAGTTGACATTTGCTAGATGCACAAGAAAGGAAAAATGGATTATTTTAACCTGTAGCTACAGTATTGAGTATAACTGGCTCCTTTTTCCTTAATGTGGTCATCTGCCATTTACTGATACTAATTCCTTAGATGTTTAAAAGATAAACTAGGGAATGAATTTACAGGTTTATACACATTCCCATTATGTTTTCACTTGCCCCTTTCTTCCACCCAATCTAGACAAACACAGATGTTTGGGGTTCATAAACTTCTCAAAGAATCAACCATAGCAACTCCATCCTGGTCCAACTGTGCTAGACATGGAACAAACATTTGCACCTTTCAAGAGTGTGTTTGTACATATTACCTCTTTAGACTATTCTTAAAGAGGAAGGGAGTTTGTGCTGCTTTGCAATATGAATGTCATTTTTTAAAAAAAAAAACAGTTGTTTAGAAAAATACCACTTGGCTCTGTAATACACCAGCTGCTGTTCTATTCACTACAACTCTGATACAGTTCTCTCGCAATCAGGTGCTTATTTTATGAAGCTTACACAGAGGACAGCTTTGTATTTCAGTCTCCCTTTAATAACTAGATGAAACCTCAGAAATCAGCAATTGAAATAACATGAGAATTTTAAGGAGCCTCATCCTGGAGCTGCGTACTTGCGCAGTCCATGCATCTGAGATGCAGAGAACTTTTTGCCCTGCTGCTACCACACTGGGGCAGACTCCTGACTCCAGTGGAGTGACAGTATTAATGTCAGCAGCACAGCAGGCTTCGCATCTCACCCAAACGCTGCCTGCAGTTGATCTCTGCCAGCAGTGCATCAGCTCACATGCTCTGCTCAACTGAAAGCATTCAGCCTGTGCTGATTCAGCCTTTTCCAATAGCAGTACCTAAAGCTACAGTTATTTCCTTATACAAGAGTTGTAACCTGTTGCTTTGTATTCTTCTGGCCTTTTGGGATGTCACTGAAGTAAAACAAACTAATTGATTTCCCTTTTCTCTCTCAGGTGAACTTTATAATCACAAATTTCAAGACACTGAAAGCACGTGTGACAGCGGGGTAGAGACCTCCTTCCGCAAACTGAGCTTTACTTATTCAGACTCTCTGAACAGCAAGTCATCGGTAACACTTAGCAAAATGACCCTGGGCTACAGCCAGGAAAGCTCAGAGCAAAGCAATTATATACCTAACTAGGTAACTTCAATTAGCAATATATGCAGTTACAGAAACAACCCCAACGTTTAGAATTACACTGATGTTGTCACAGATGGAGGGAAGTAAATTCACAACCAGAAATGCACTGGAGGATCCACACACGAACCTGAACCAGTGGTAACTCCTCACCCTTGCTTCCTTCCTCAAGTACTGTCCATTTATAAGCCACATCTGAGAACCAGGGCTCCGTGCCACATTAATACAAAGGACTGGACACTGATGGACTGAGGGAGCTCACCTGGTTTGTGAGGATTTTCTTTTGTAGATGAAAGACACTCCTTATTAATGCCTAATATCAGCTCACTTAATTCAAAGAGGTAAAGCACACAGCAATCAAAGGATGGTTTCTGGCTGTTCCCTTCAGAAGTTTTGCAGCACGGTTGTCTGGAAAAAGCTCCTAAAAATCACTGGTAAAGAAAAAGTAGTGACTTTAATTGCAACAGTGACAACTCTGACAAAAGAATCCAAAAAAAAAAAAAAAAAAAAAAAAAAAAAAAAAAAAAAAAAAAAAAAATCTTGTATATTTCAAATAATGTATTTAAACATAGCTTTGGTGCCTCTAAAAAAAAAAAATCAAGTTTTGCATTTCCTACTTGTAAATAGTTTTTTATATCAGTTCCTTTTTAAAAAAAAATAAATGTGTGCTTTTTAAAAGCTTATTTTTATTTTACTTTTATAATAAAAACTCAAAATTAAATCTTGTCTACGCTTGCTGTAATTTTTACATAACTTCCAATTGCAATTAGTTACAGAAGATCTAGTACTGAGTTCTGGCAATTTCCAACTACTAAAATATATGAAAGGTTGCAAACCTCTTCTCCTTAAACTTAAGTGTCTTATAGGGAACGAGACCACAAGGATCTGCTGCAGCTGAGAATCTGTGCTGAGAGCCTCTGATTCATAGTCCTTGATAGTTCTCATAATTCTGGCAGCAGAGAGTCATCAATGCTGAAGTCCACAATTCAGCTTATCAGCAAAACTAATGAGGTGGTTTTTACTTGGCTACCTGAAACAACTCTATAACCATGTTTCTGAGGAGTATTTATTTTTGTCTCAAATTAATCCCAGTGAGTGCAACAGTTACAGATATTGCCCCTACTACAGGTACAGAACAGCTATCAGATTTAACTATAAAAATGCAAAGTGCTGTCATATCACTTACCCATAGCCAGCTTTCATGGCACAGGGGTGGAGTTTTTGACACACTGATGATCCTTGGCTGACTTCAGTCTTCAGTAATGTGGATATAGTTCCTGGGAAAGGAGATAATATAAATAAAATAATATTAAATACTTCCATTCATTACAGCAAATGCTACTATGAAGTCACAATCAGTGAAAAATCTTTTGAAGTAACTCCATATCCAGCTGAATTAATTCCAGAGAAACAGGATACAAAATGGTAAAAATACAGTGCTTTCTTTCAGTTACCACATGAGCAGCCTATGAATGCAGCAGTGTGGACTTCTGTTTGATGAGTGTAGTTGTCCAGTGTTCCGCCTTCATTTCTAGCTGCAACTATTTTTTAAATGCAGAAACGGGCAAAGGTTTTCATGTTCTGTCCCTGTCAGAGCCACTGAGTCACTCCTACCTTCTGGCACCAATCTTCCAGCACAGCCTGGAGGGGGTGACAGAGACTTTTATCAAGGTTTCTGTAATCCTGCAGGTCACCAAGGCAGGCTGGCTGTTGATGAGCACAGTTAGTTAGCATTGCTTCTGGCCCTCTGCTGCTTTTAAACCACCAGAAGAGACATGGCATAAGTGGCAGGCTGGCATCTTTTCTTGCAGTTTCTTTGCAGCAACAGAAGCTTCAGACTTTTTTGGTTTTGTTTTTTTTGTTTGTTTGTTTTGTGGTTTAGCAATAGAGAAATACTAATGTAGTCTCATTAATCATGAACACTAAATTTCTAGTCAGGTCATAACTTCTCCCATCTGCTTTAGCCCTCAGCATCTTAAGCATGTGTTACAGGCATGACCCATGGTTTGGCAAAAGCAGGCAAGAATAGAAGGCAGCTGGCAAGGGAGCACTACAGGTGTCAGGCTGCCTAGTGCAAGAGGTATTTGTTTCTTTTTTGTATAGTTCCACACCAGCAGAGTAAATTTACTGGAGAGCCTTGTGTTTACCTCGGTTTAATTCAAAGAAAATGCTCATGCACACAGCTTTGCTTTTTCTTCCTTACCTTTTCTCTTATCAGCAGGCAGTCATCCTTTGCAGGGCACGCAGCCTTGTTCTTCTGGCACCTGGAAGGAGGCAGGCACCACAACGAAGGGGAAATGCCCAAGCACACTGCTGCCTCATGCAGGTTGAAGGAAGAAGTGTACACAGAGGAAGCATGGTCTGCAGGAAAAGAGTATGAGCAGTGCACCCAAGTCTCAACAGAAACACTTTGAGTAGCTGCATTCTTAACAAGTAACCATTAAGAGAGATTTATACATCCCATTAGCTCACCTTAGACACAGATTTATTCTTATGTCACCTTATGCAAGAAAGGAGTGCTATTCCTGTTCCCCAAGTCTGAAGGTCAAACAAATGAGAGAACCCAGCTCACTGCTTGAGATCTCCTGTGCATGACTGGGTTATGGAGAAACGTTGTCCCACCCAACACTGAGAAGACTTGACCACACCAACACAGGGTAGTAACAAGGACTAATCATTACTGACTCATGTTCAGTACAGTTACAGGCCTGTAGCACAAGCTATTGTCCCTATTCTACTCCACGTTAGCCCTGAAGGAACAAAAATCAAGACCCTGTTATTAACTAAAGTTCAGAAAAGCTAAGTGTATCTCTGTTCTAAATAGAATTTCTGGAGTTACTTTTACCTTTTCCCTAACAGAACCTTTAGGAAAACTGTTCCAGCGATCTACCAAGCTCCTATTTACTCCAAGCATTACTGCATGACTGTGCAGGAGGCCTAGAGTGCACTGCTGTTAGCAAATAGGACAGCAAAGCTGGAGGAAGGGCCAAAAAGCATATACTAACAACTTGAAGCAAGATGTTTGCACTGGGGGCTCGTCCCTCTGAGTGCTAGTCACACTTTCAGTTTCTTTGGCAGAGATTAATCTAGAAATATCTCCAAAGGTATTTAACTAAGCTTTCCCTCCCTCCCCAGTACATAGACAGGTGCAACCTTTAGACACTTCCAATCAAGTTCTATAAGTTACATTATACATTATATATTATAAATTATAGCAAGAATCTAAATCTGAAATACACTTAATCTGCACTTGCAGTAAAAGGTATCTGCTGCGTTGTTTTGCTTTGTACCACAGTAACAGACACCAGAAATAGGGAACAGAGGAAAAATATGGCGTGACAACAGAACACTACAGATTTTCTCTATGTTTGACATTAAAAAAGGCTATTTAGAAAGTTTAACTGAGCTTGTTTTTAAAGTGTCTGCCATTGCTGTGAGTTTCCAGCGACTTTTGTTTACCAGCCTACAGTGGTATATGAAATGTCTTTTCTCCCTTTCATGGGCTGGTGAAGTGCTGTTTTCCTGTGTTTAAGGAAAAAAGCAACCTTTCCTCCCTTGAGGTGACAAGGAACAGTGGTGACCGTTCATTAGCTCAAGATGCAACTGGCCAATACTCACTTACAGCTTACAGCTCTTCTGGAGCATACAATGCTCTTAAAGCAGAGCAGTCCTGCAGCGATTCTGCCACAAGTTTCATCCAAACTTTTGATGAATTCCAAAGATTCCTACAGCTATAAGCAAAAGACAGCACAAGTTAATTCCAGGAGATGCTTTTCTGTATCCAGGGTTATGAAATAATGTGATGCCCTGCTTAGAACTAGGCTGCAGTATGTACGTTATCCAAAGCCCATAGAACTCTTAAATTAGTCAGTGGGAAAACCAATTGTAAAAAGTAAAAAGTTTTCCATCATCCACTTAGCCACGCTACTTTCACAATACAGACGTGTGCAAGTTGATCTGTGGGCTTCATTACACACTGCAAATGCTTGTGACTGACTTACTGTCAGTTAACCCGTGGCCTACAGTAGCCACATACAATGGCATTTTCCCAATGCTGACAGAGACGAAACCAAGAAATTGTTAAGGTTCTGCATTTTTCACTTAAGACTACTTGCTTCTCTATCCCTAATTACACTGAACAGGGACTTTCATTTCACTATCCTCTGACATCTGATTGAGAAGGACAACTGCGTTAACTCGATTCCTTGACTGGAACATACACTTAAACATTCAAACAACAAGATCCTGGTTTACTCAACTTCTCCCCCACAGGGTAAGAAAGGAAAACAAAGACTCCAGGATTGTAAAAGCAAGCCCTAACTCTTCCTTTCTGAGAACAAGAATCTCACTCTCAACTGATGCTGCTATAAGTCATTGAAGTGACTCTGCTACACACTCCAAAGACAGATGGGGTACTAACAGGAACAGAAGTGCTGAAGAAAGATATGCCTCTAAAGCAGACAAATTGTTCAGGCCTTGGGCTAGGCAAGCAACAGGTGACACAGACTGACAAAGAGCTACGTATTTGGAGATGAATTCTAGGTACACATCTCATGAAAACCAGAAATATAAAATCCAGAAAAGCTTTCAAAAACAGTTAGAGGTAAACTTAAGAGAAAAAAAAAAAGAGAAAAAAAAAGCCTTCCTTGCATGGCAGAAAGTATCACCAGAGGTGCTTTCTGCAGCTCCCTGACCATCAGACAGACCATCAGACAGACCATCTCTGCAACTCTCGAAGTAGTTCAGAGCAAAGTTGGACAGAGACCAGTTTTAGGACATCGTCCCAGATAACACCATACAACTTTCTACCAAAAGCTGCTCTCAAGTTCTGTTCCTGGCAGTGGTCCTGCTGAAGGGAAATCTGATGGCTGCTTTTGTCATCTGTGGAGAACAGCCCTGCAGGAGCCTGGCAGGGAAGCAGTCTCCATCCATTAGAAAAAAACATAAGCACGAGCAAACCCAGCAATCCCTAGACAAAGTACTGCAAGGCTACATGCAGAAAGAATACTGGTAGGGCCACCAATAATTGAACAACACTGCAGACAAGCACCAGGACACGTAGCAATTGCTTTTCCTAATCCATTCACTGCCGATTCCCAACCCATCAGATACACCTGGCAATACAAGTGCAGTTGAGCCACTGGAACCCACACTCAGATGGCTATGGATGATGCATACTCCAAAGATCTCTTCGCTGTTGTGTTCTTGACCTTGCCCTGATCTGAGACAAAAGCAGAACAGTGGTATTTATTAATAATTTTTATCCCATATTTTCGGCATAGTGGTTACGTTTTTCCATCCTTACCTTATATAGGGCTCTATTGCTGTCATGATTCCACTTGATTCCAAGATACTGAAAAATCTAAAGGCTTTTTCTTCTATTCTTGGCCCAGGGTGCCTCTCATGTACCATTTACATGAGGTGATCAACACCTGCATTATCTGTAAAGTTTTATTCATGGCTATAATTTTCCCTATTTATTTAACATAATCTGTAAATAGTAGCACATAAACATATTTTAATTATTTCACATCTTCTTTTAACAACTCTTGAATCAGAAAAGACCTCCAATGCTCAGTTAGCTGTTTTGATGACCTAGTAAAGCATTTGTAAGGAAATTCCATTAATCATTTCACTTCCACATTCAAGTTTTTCCTCTTCCTCAGGACTATTTTCATTTTGGTTAATGACCCATTCCAAAAACAGCTGCAGATCACCAAGCACCTGTCAAGATGTTTATTTATTGCCCATTAGAACTGCAGCCACTACAAAGCAACTCTTTACTTCAGGTTTTTTTAACTGACCAATATGACACAATCATTTTCCCTATATGCACTCCATAACCCAGCACCCCCATAAATATCATCTACATGGTGCTTTCACTTCAGAGGTGGATGTCACCAGCACAGCTTGTTCAGACACTTTCTACTGTGAAGTAGAAAAATGCAGGAAAATGCATACTGTGGTTGCACTGCAACAGGTTTCCCATGGAACCCCAGCAAGATCTCAGCTGCATTTCAAATCACATCTGAAAGAAGTTGATGTTTAGCAACCTGCCTGAGGCACAGCTTGGTGACCTGGACTTCCAGATGACCAAACCCTCTGCTATCATCTGCTATCTATCAGACTGCTGTAGCCCCTGCACTGAAGCACATTTATTTTCTTATCTTTAAATGCCTAAGTGAGACATTTCCACGGGAAGCCAAAACGTTTTAAGAACAACTTATTCAGAAACAGAGTAAAAGGTGATGTACGGTTACTCTGTATGGACTAACAAACATAATGAACCCCCAGATCTAATTATGAGTAAGCCGTGTTTTCACCAGGAAAGGTATATACAAAGAAACAAATTAAAGATGGTCAGGTTTTCCTTTGGTGACGTCCATATAACATTTTGGAGGTGACATACACGCAAGAGGTTAAGAGCAAACACACCAAAGCAGAATTATGACACAATTTGCTTGATAAACAAGTAAGCCAACTCCTCTGAAAGGAGAAGAGGCCCAGAGTGGGGCACAGGCCACTCACAGGGAGTGGCAGGAGGTAGCAGCAATACACAAGGGAGAACATCAGTCCCTGCACTGTGCATTTAGTGGAGAAAAAGGAGAAAATTCTAACGCTGTGGTCCTCTCAATAACCATTTATTTTCTCTCTTGCTTTCTTTCTCTTTGTACCTTTGCCAACTTTTCTCTCATTCTTTTCCCACAGCCAGGCACATCTCATACCATGACACACTAAGCAGGAATCCACATGAGCAAACAAAGTTTGTGACTGCAGCTGTCTGGGAACCGTATAATAATTAAGGTTGGAAAAGATTTCTAAGATCCAACCATCAACCCATGACCACCACGCCCAGTAAACTATGTTCCATGCACCACATCTACATGCTTCTGAACACCTTCAGGCCCCCTGCTGCCGCTGCCACTGCCATGAGGAATGTGCAGAGGGACTTAAATGAGGCAGTGGTACACAGAGAGCAGCAGCCAGCAGCACTGTGTGATGGTGTGCTCCCCCTCCACTTTCTTTCTCCCAACTTCCTTCCTCAGCCTGGCCTCACAAATAAGGCCTTGCACAAGCAACCAGATTAATGGGGCAAGGACTACAGTAGATGAAACAAACCACCCTAAGAGTGAGCTGGGTGAAAAAAATGCACTGTTCAACTTGTTGGCCTGTGGAGGTGGTCTCAGTTTCATTCCCTGACCTTCCTCCTTACCTTCTGGTAGTCCTGGGATGATTTTTCACTTATAGCATTGTGAAAGTGGAAAAAATTTATGTATTTTACAAACATAGTCTAGAGGGACATATCTGTTGTCTTTGAGGTAGGAGAGAACTACAACCCAGTAATTTCTTTTACATGAATTGGAAGAGTCTTACACCAACTAACCCCTCCCATTTTGTGCGGGATGTAATTACCTGAGAAAGCCAATGTTCAATGCACCACATATATTATAAGCAAGCTGTGTTGTTGCTATCTTTACATTGAACCAGCAGTTAAAATTCACACATGACAAAACAAAACATTCAGTCATCTCATCTCGTAGGTCACCTCAACTGCAGTCAAATTCTTCCCAGTTTTTCCTCTCCCTGTTTTGTCATCTAGAACAAAATCATCAGGCAACGTCCATCAAAGATGTCAAGGTGAACGACTTTTCTAGTTCTTCAACACTGGTAGGCTCCCAAGGATAAAAAATAACCACCTTCTTCTTTTCCATCATGAGGAAACCATTATCACTAAACCTACCCTTTATACTCCCTACATCCAAAGTAACAAAAGGAGCAATTGCAGTAGTCTGAAGATCAAATATATAAACATCATCTTGTTGCGATACAGTGGCCTGGAAGAAAAAAAAGAAATAAAAATAAAAAACATACTAAGAACAACCAGTTACACCCAAACTGTGAAAGAGTTGTTTGTGATTAAAACAGACTGAGATAAACCCCCACGTTTGATTAAAGTTATTCTTATTTTCCTATTCTATTACTGTAATATATTCTGGAACTAAAAGGTCAAATACATAACAATCATGCAAAAATCACAAATATTGATGATAGCTTTTCTTCAGAATAACACAGATCGTGAAAAATGAAACTAAGGAGTGTTTTCCTTTCTTTTGAAAATTACCAAATAAATAGTAATATGATTTATACTCAGAACTTGTATCCTAAACTTATTGTGGTGATTTACTGTGGAGTTCCCCCTTTACCTATGTACCTAGGTAGGTATAACCTATGATAACCTATTAATTTATGCTCTAAAGTAGCTGGTCTTTCTGATCACATCAGTAACAGAACCACATGGCAAAAGTCACAGCAGCACAAGAGGTCACCTCTTCCTAACAGAATAGTCTTTATGCTACATTGAAAAGGCAGCTATGTTGTGAAATATCAGAATGAGGCCTAATATTAAGTTCAATCAGTAGTTAATCTCTGTAAAGCTTAAAAGAACAACCGGGATAAATTTTCACGGAGCGGTCTCCATTCCCTGTCAAGAAACGTTATGATATACTGCTTTTGAATTCCAATATGTGGAGAGCAAAATGTAAAAAAACACACCCTGCTTAAAAGAAAAACAACTCTTAATTTTCGAGAAAAAGTACACGTAGTTTGTATTGTGTGCTAACTGAAGAAACAGTAACAACGCTATGAAGGGTAGCACTTAGATTAGCAATACATTTGGAAGTCTAGTTAGATTATTAGTAACTATGTATAGAAGCACCACCTTCTTATGAAACAAAAATATTTTTTAAATCACAGCTGCGTATGTTCTTAAAATACCTGCTCTGCATTTATCCCTGCTAGCTATCCTTACTAGCTGCTACTGCAGAGACAACACAGCCATGGGAAAGAGGCATGAAATTTCCCAGCAGTGCTCCAGTTGCACAGCTTTTATTATTGGTGATGTCATCCTCAAAAAATAAAAAAAAAAAAGCAACCCAGCATGACTCAGACTCCAGATTGTGCCACCAGCTGAAAAAAATAAATAAAAAACAGGCTGGTTTCTTTCCTTTGTATACTCCGAAAGCAGGCCCTGCTACCATCAAAGAGATAAGAGGGGAAAATCTAGCCTATTTTCTTTTTGTAAAGCAATTATGCTGGTCTAGATTTAAAGAGATTAAAGACCTCTATTCTCCCCTTGTTTAGTTTAGCACTAAAGAGCAAGGCTGCAGTCTGGAAGCCACATGTGAGAACACACAGGTCCCCATTCAGCCACTCTGCTGACTAAGAATTTTGCAATACGATTTACGCACTGAAAAGTGAAGCTTAACTAAATTTGTGGTGCACATGAGTATGTGTGTACATACACACACACAGAGCAAGCCTGCATATATTTACATAGAAGTAAGCTTGCAAGGAGCAGGAGAAATTCAGGGAAAAGCAGTAAATGGAGAAAGCAAACACTTAGAATCTTAAATGCTTTTGTGTCTGTTCAGAAGACTGTCACACTTTATAGATATCACAAAACAATCACTGTTAGGCAAATCTTAGCCCCATGTCTGAAGGGCAGGGATTTGCAGAACAAGGAAATGAATATGCAATATTGCATGTTAGCAGTGTTAGACTGATCTAAAAGAGCTTGAGCACTTCAAGAAGAAATACTGTTGACACTAATGTATTACATGCTCAACCAAATTACTTTGACCTGGTACCAACCTACATTGATGTTTTCAAGCCAAAAACACTTTGCCACAATGCTATTTGCTGTCTAGAGACAAGAAGAATGAAAGGAGCAATGCTACAGCAATAAAGTGAAAAACAGACAAAACAAATGAAATGGAGATTTCATTATTTAAACAAACAAACAAACAACAACAAACATACCTGGAAAAAACGGTATTATTCAGATACATATGTGGTGACAAAAAAAACAACACATGACTTTGAACTCCTCTACATAGAAGCTAAACTACTGCAGCTAAGGAGACAGAATATTCAGTGGAAGCAGAAACTAAAAGAGGCAAACAACTCAAAATACTTGGATCAGCAAAACCAAATACAGTAATTTAAGATGGCTTACACTAAGTTGAGTCTTTTCCAATCCTACAGCATCTTTCAGAGATGAAAGGAAGTGATGATTCATTGGACTCTGGAGTCCATCTTCTCCCACAAGGTAAAAAGAAACAATGCAGCTTTTCCTGGTACAATTTCTGCATCTTTCCAGCAAGGCATTTATGGACTCCTTGTAGATAGAAAACGCACTTTGTGCTTTAACAGTCACACCATCTTTGACAAGAGTGCATACTGGCTCC